TTTGGCTGTGTTTTGCATATATGGATTATTAAGACTGTTATTAAACAATGTTTAACTACAAGTCAATCTCCATTGAGGAAATAGATATTTTACAAATTATTAAAAAAATGTCTTGTATTTGATGGCTGGTCCAATGTATTTGATGCCCTCAGTGGACTTAGTCAAAATACATTATTTTTATGTCATAATTACTTATAATTATCAGCAAAAATAATTTTTAAATTAACTGGGCATGATAATGCATGCCTGAAATCCCAGTTACTCAGGAGGCTGAAGCAGGAGAATTACAAATTCAAGGACAGCCTGGACAATTTAGCAAGACTCTGCCTCAAAAAAATGATAGTGGGTCATGGGTGTAACATAGTAGTAGAACACCCTATGTTTAATCCCCATGCTACAATTTTTTTTAAAAAACAACTAATTAGTTAATTAATTAAAATCTATATTAATCTAAAAATGACAGCCACATTCTTTTATTTGTAATTCTCAAATTAATATTTTCACTGTGATTTTAAAAGGACTACAGATAATGTTTTGCTCACAATGTTGACTCTTTAAAATCTAAACATAGAAAATTAAAGAGAATAGTTTACCAGTCCTTCACGTACTTTAGCTTTGACAATTATCAATTCATGTCTGATAACATTGTTTCATAACTAGAAGTCCTTCTGTGTTATTTTAAAGCAAATCCTAGACAGCATCTTATGTCAACTGTAGATATTTTTGTGTGTATCACTAGAAGAGAGGGACTTTAAAACAACAAATCTGTGATATTGTTATCATGCCTAAAAAATTAGTTGTAATTTCCTATTCTGTCTTTATTCTATATTCAGTGTTCAGATTTCCCCCATCTCAAAATGCATCATAGGTTTTTTTTTTTCCCAGTCAAGATAAATCAGTATAATTGGTAGAAATGTCTCTTAAGTCTCCTTTAAACCTCTAGATCCCTCTGCCTTCCTTTTGTAATGGGGACTGTGAGACTGAGAGGTTATTTGATTTTCCCCAATATCACACAGTCAGTGGTTGGGCCAGGATTGTTACAAAGTTCTCCATTTATTCTCTACCAAGGGAAAAAGAAAGGCCAAGTGGGGTGGCTCATTTAAAATCTTCTCTTACTAACTTTGATTTTTAGAGGTTGTGTGCAATATAGTTTGAAAGATCTACTGAACAGGAATACAAAGTAATGATGAAACGAGATCCTTCCTTGTTTTATTAGTGATTCAGTGTGTGACCTGGGTCATTGGGCCTCATCTTCACTCTTAGAGTGGGAGGATGAAGTCATCCTGAAGAAAAGAGCAAAAACTGAAATGTATGGAAATCTATTAAAAGATGTGGAGGCAGTGTTGGGAAACATACCAAGAGGCTAGTCATAGGAACCATGTTTTGGGCAGTAACTTTCTAACTGCTTAGCAATGGTGTAGGACCCACAGCCCATTTGTTCTAGGACAGAGATAGGTTGTTGAGAGATCTAGAACCCAGAAATAGGGGAGTGAGATATAGGGTTTTATTAGGAAATGCTTATGGGGAAGAGTCTGTGGCAATGGGCTAGATAGGAGACTTCACCAGAGTCCTTTGGCTTTGGCTGGGCAGGAGCACCTCTGTCACTCACAGTGCTTTACCAAGTGTCACCTCCTTTCCTTCACAATGATGCTCCAGAAAAAAAAAAAAATCACTTCTCCCTCACAGCATTTTATCCAGTGGTAGTCAGCCAGGGACATATATTCTTTCCACAGTGCCCCAAGTTCCACACCAGTTACCAAAGAGAGAGGGATTGTATAAGCTAGACTATAGAAGTTAAGCAGCATTAGCTTGCTTAACTTCCTTTGTTCCTAGTCTGACCAGCACCCCAAGGAGCAGCTGTCCTGGCATATGTGCAAAAAACTAGTTTTCTACAAATAACACTAACTTGTCCTAGTTCCCAGCATACATGAGAGAAAGTCAATGTCCTTCAAGATACTACCATCCAGACCTTCTGGCCTGGTTGCTCTCTGTTCCCTTGACTTGACCAGGTCCCCAGGAACTGAAAGGGGCATTCCAGAGACATTGTGTTTTACTGTCCTTCTTTTTCTTTAAGGATGACATAAATGAATATTTATTTATTAAACAACACTCATGTTGCCTTGCTTTGTGCATTAGATGGGGAGGAAGTGGTATAAATTAAAAAATGTATGCAAAAGGAGAGATTTCAAGGATGTGTAAAAATTAAAAATCTGCTCTGGGGCCATTTTTTCTCCAACTCCAAGAAGCAGCAGCTGGTGGTGGCTATCATTATAAGGAACCTTCAGGATAAAGGATGACACCTGCCAAGGGATACACCGAGATACTTGTAGGTCTTGGTAAACATGAACTAATTAATTTTCACAACACCCTTGTGAGTCAGGAAGTAGCATTTCCTAGTTCTACAGATGGGGAAGTGTCATCACATAAACATAAGTGATTTGGCCCTTTCACATAGCAAGACTGTGACAGTGCTGGGAATAAGGAGTCTTATTGAAAGGCTTAGAGGTTGAATTCAACTTCCAGATCTTTGCTAACTTATATTTTAGTTCTTCCCCTTTGTGAAGTAATATTGGATGATATATGCACCCTTGTTTTATGGGCACATAATTATTAGGCATAATTATTCCTAAGAATATAAAAATCATCTTTTGAGAAGGAGCCTTAGAAATGGTCAAATGTAACCTCCTCATTATGGATGTTAAATTACTCACCGTCGACATAGAACTCTTTAGTGGCAGAGCAAAGATTAGAGCCCTCACTCACTTTACTTCCACTGGCCAACTCTGGTTTTAGTACATTCTTCACCTGGTCTCCCACTGTTTCCTTTTCTGTGGAACTCCAGAGAGCTGCACAAATGAAAATGTCAGGGTTGGAAGTCCCCACAAAGGCTGTCAACTCCAACAATGCATCAGGCTCTTAAATCTTCCGTTGGATCTCTCTGTTCAGTGGTTGCCCGGACTGTGATTAAACACAACCATGACTGGAAAGCCACCACCTGCTGGGCAGCCCGTGCCACCTCACACCTGCTGGGAAGCTCTCCTCCCCTTCCACAGCCACCAAGTCACTGCCCTGCACAGCTGACCCCAGGCCCTACTCTACAAAATGTCTTTTATTTTACTTTTGGGGGGCATCTTTATTGCTATCAACTTAATATTCTCTCAGTGACTGTTTATGAAGTGCAATCTATAGGTGCCAACAATAAGATGATAATTAAGGAGAATAACCTAACAGAGGGAACTGCATATAAATGTGCAGTTTAAACACAAAATGATAAGAACTTCGATGAAGCATGTATATGATATTAGGGGAACAAGGAATGTTTATTTTTATTTACTATCTATAAGCTCTGAGGTTACCAAACAATATTCCCTGAAGGTATTCCCTGCCTTTTAGAAATGTAAGAGTTTAAAAGAAAGACAGAATACAGATATAAATGTTGACTAGTTATCAGAATACAAGAATTGAGTTATGAAAATATGGCATTCCATTATGTTACTTACAGATGGTGCCGCATGTAAACAGATATAGCTGTTAATAAATTCTGTCTTTAAAAATAGCAGAGTCACTGAGCTGCACAGCTCCAAGTGGGGAGAGATCTTTACAACATTGCCTTCTATGATAATGGCGGCTCCAAATCAAATTCCCTCTACCTACAGAGCACTGCTTAGCGCTAGGTGTTGTCCATTAAATGTACAATGTCAAGTAGAAAGGGATCAACTCCACCCATTCCCTTATAACTTAGCATTCCAAGGAGACAGGTAGCATCAAATATATGTGCAGATCAATGCATGATTATGATTAGGCCGAATACTGTGAAAGGAAACGAACAGTTTGCTACGACAGAGAATAATAGGGAACAAACATCATTTTTAAAGGAGTCAAGAAAAAAAATTGTCTGTGACGACTTGACACTTCCTCGGAGATCTGAAGGACCCACAGGGATGAACCAGGCAAAGAAAGAGTGAGAGAGAAGACGAGCATGCATGCAGGAAGGTGGGAAAGAGCTTGCTTTGGGCACTGAGGGAAGTGAAGCTCTCAACATGAGTGGCCAGAATGAAGGAAAGGAGAGGGCCTTGCTCAGGCTGAACCTCATGAGCCAAAGAAAGGGTTTGGGGTTTAAGTGAAATGCAACAGGAAGTGATAGGAGGAAATTAGGCAGAGATGACTTTGCTGGGGGAACATATGGGAGCTGGGGAGCAAGGAGAACTGTGGAGAGATCAGTGGTGCACAGATGCTCAGGAGACACTTGTTGGACTGAACTATTTATTTTCCAGAAAGAAGATTTTAGTTCTGATTCATTTATTTTCTATTTTCTACATTTTATGTAAATGTTTTCAATTAGAAAGTACAAGATCCTTGCTGATGTTTGATCTTTTGTGCCCTTTAAAACAGATATTCCTCAGTCAAAAGCCAACACACATGTGGATCAATAAACACAAATGATTTCCTTTACAAGTCATTTAATGTTCACTTTGCGTGAACCTCACAGATTGTTTGGATTTTACTGCCATCTAGTGCCTCTGAAAACATATGCTTATGTTTTTCACAAGACACTCCCAAAACTGCATGAGCAAGTGTGTTTCTGCTTCTGGAATGGAGAACCTTTGTTCTCCAAATTGCTTTTAAATCAATATGAAGTGAATCTGGTTGTATTTTTCACCCTCTGTTTTCTCTATAGAATTATCTAGGTTTTCTTTGATCCCCCATTTTACACTCATAGTGTCTGGAGAATTCCTCAAGTATGCTTCATGAGGTGGACCAGTGTGCCCATTGCACAAAAGTATATCTGTCTTAGGAAGCAAGTGGTGGAGACTGAAATCCAGGGCATATTTTGTTCCAAAGTTGAATGCAGAGAGGTTACATCTGCTCAAGGGCAGGCATCCTTTCCAAATTTAATAATATAAGTTAGCAACAGCCCTGGTATCACTCCATGAAGTTTCCCATACGAAATTTGGGATTCCATTCCACTGTATCCTTCATTGTGAGTCTCTTCTTCCAAGGTCCCAAGCCACTCGTTTCCGTTGGCATCAACCAGCTCCTTTTGACAAGCAACAGACATGGGCAATAGATAATGTCTATATCGGGGATGGCTGCATAGACATGTGTAGTGGCCATGGGAGGTGCATCCAGGGAGGCTGTGTGTAAGTAAATTTTTTCCTTTCTTCTGATTCACATCCCATCTAGGAGGTTTTCCTGAAACTGGTTTTTGTATTGCTCCCAAGCTACCTTAGGTTATACATTTTTCCTGAAATATGATATTGAGCTAACTGTGAAGTTGATGGGTATTATATCTTCATTCTTGCTTAGAGATTAGGAACTGAACAACAGCTACCTTGTCAGGAGAAAGCTAAATTATAATTGGCTGTATTTTATTTCCTTCTGTGTTTTTGTGATACACTTGAGCCTTGAAACAGTCATTAGAAGAAGTTCAGGAGTTCAGTATGTTCTGATCAAAAATAATACATCATATATATTTTTCTCACTTAGGTATGAATATTTGTAATGATATGCATTTGTCATGATTTAATTGATATTCCATGTTGTTTGCATAAGAAAGTATATAAATGTCTGGTCAATTTACCAGGCATATTTGACAAAGAGGCCTAGTATATTATTCTTAGAAAGCTGTAGCATGTTTGGAAGAATATAAATAAAGTGTGTGTATGAGTACAACTGTGGGCACATTAGCACACAAATGCATGTACTCACACTATAGCTTGAGCTTTATTTTCAAAGATTATACTTTTGGGTGGGGTAATATGGAGGAAAATAATGTTAGAGAATACATATTCTCTCCTCCACTAATCACCACATCATGGGAAGTCTTTCCTTTGATTAATGATCATAGCCCTTTTGCAGACTGACCTTGGAGACCCTTGAGCCTCCCAGTTCTGTATTCACATCCCCTTCCATCCTGAACAGGGGAGTCAGTCCTTTGGTCAAAGATGGCAGTTACTATGCAAATTATCTTCAGATGCTTGCAACATGACCTCTTAGATTCTAAATTGACCCAAAGCCTACATTAAAAACATCAGTTTTATAAATCTAGGACCCACCAGTTCACCTTGTCAGCTGTAATCGTTTGTCAGCCATCCAGAGTTGTGTCATGGAGAGACAGGGTTTTAATATATTCTTTGAAGTCATTTCTTTTTCTCTACCTGTAGCCCCCAAGTGTCACTATTTCAGGAAAGCCTAGAGGTAGTTAATTCAGTTTTTTTTCCTAACCTAAAGCATTGTTAAGGAGGGTAAGTGAATACTGGCAAGCTCTGAAAATCAGTAACCTTTCATCATCCCGGACTAGGAAAAAGAGTTGACTTCACTAATATGAGAATACACTTTCAGGGGTTTTGTTTGATGTTGACTTTTCCTTCCTCTTTCTCCACATCCAGCTGTGATGAGCAGTGGGGTGGCCTATACTGTGATGAGCCTGAGACCTCCCTTCCAACCCAACTCAAAGACAACTTCAATCGAGCTCCCTCCAACCAGAACTGGCTGACTGTGAACGGAGGAAAATTGAGTACCGTCTGTGGGGCTGTGGCTTCGGGCCTGGCTCTCCATTTCAGCGGGGTGAGGGCTTGGCTGTTGGTTACTCATTTCTACATCCTTTAAGTTTTCCCCAAATGGTTGAATCTCTTTTGAAGTATAATGGGTAAATCAAGATGCAGAGGGTTAGTTACCCTAGTTGCCCTAAATGCTCAACATTGATCTGATCTTGCAACTTTATACAAATCAGAAAATGGTGATTATTTCCAGTATTTTCCTACCACAAATCAGTTCAGCCAATTTAATTATGCAGAGTAGTATCAGTGCAGGGAATATTTAAGTACACATTTTTAAAGAACTTAAATGGATTTCAATCCTGGAAGGGCGAGCACTTGCACAGTGTGTGGGGGCTTCCATCTGGATATAACTCTAATTGAAAACCCTTGAGCTTGCAATAGATTTGGGATTTAAGGAGCCAAAAATCTGGAAAATGAGCTTTGATGATTCCTGAATGTATTAACAACAATTAATTCTTTCTGAAATTATTCAAGAAAGAATAATTGTCGGTAATTACTAGGCACTTGTATTTATAGCATATTATTTTGTGAATGACAGCAGCAATGTTGGGAACTTTCTTTAAGAAAATTTACAATTATTCTCCTTTGCTGCCAAAGATGAACTTTGTTTAAGAACACAGTTTCTCCAAAATCATGATTAGACAGGCAAATTAATTTTTTGAAAATAACAAATTTGCTATTAACTCTATTTTTTTCTACCATGCTCTACCTTTGAGTTTGCATTGGTCCTAATGAAGTGTATTATTTGTGTTTAGTATTTTAGCTTAACAGTAAAAATAATAAAGTGTATAGGATTTTCATCATCATCAACATCAAGAACACAGTGTTTAGGATTCTCTTCCTGGAGTACGTGGACCTCTTAAGTGACCTAGATTTCCACATATTTTCAACCAAGAAATACCTACCTATAGACATTAATTAGTGAATGAATATTGATGACATTAAAATCTACTACCAATAAAAAACATTGCAACTATTATCTGTGATTTAACTAAATTATACAAAAATTTTCAAATGTAGGCATTAAAATTTTCATATTAAAGTAGCCATCTTCAATGTGCCATTCCATTAATAGCTGATGCCTTTTTAAAAAATGTATATAGTAGGGGCTGGGCTGGGGCTCAGCAGTAGAGCGCTTGCCTCGAACATGTGAGGCACTGGGTTTGATCCTCAGCACCCTATAAAAATAAATAAATAAAATAAAGGTATTATGTCCATTTACAACTAAACAATACATTATATATATATATAAAATAAATGCCATTCAATAACAAGAGATAGTTTAATAGTTTCTTTAACCCCACCCTTCACCTTGCTGATTAAAAATATATATATAAAGAGACAGGTAAAGTGGTAACACCTAAATTCAGGGGGCTGAAGCAGGAGGATCACCAGTTTGAGGCCAGCCTGGACAACTTAGTGAGACCCTGTCTCAAACTAAAAATGGCTGAGGATGTAGCTCAGTGGTAGAGCACTTACCTAGCTAGCATGTAAAAGGCCCTGGGTTCAGTCCCCAGTACCATAAATAAATAAATAGATAAATAAACAAATAAATTTATATATACTTTTAGATAAATACACATGTATAGAAAATCTCCTTAGAAATATATGACCCTCTGTATTGAATACTGAAATTTCCATTTAGTAAGGAAGTTCTTGAATATTAAAATCTCACAGTTGAGCAAATGTTTGCGGAGTATTTACTACTTACTGGGCACCATGCTAGGAGCTGGCAGAGCAACAAGGATGATAAGAAAACCAGTGCCACGACACGACTTGGACTACAAAGGACAGAAACCAGAGAAATTCTGTAATCTGCAATCAAGATTCTTTATCAATATTTATTTTTATTCTCTTCCTTTTCCATAGGGTTGTAGTCGTTTGCTAGTCACCGTGGATCTAAACCTCACCAATGCGGAGTTTATCCAATTTTACTTCATGTATGGATGTCTGATTACACCAAACAACCGTAACCAAGGTGTTCTCTTGGAATATTCTATCAATGGAGGCATTACCTGGAATCTGCTAATGGAAATTTTCTATGACCAGTACAGTAAACCTGGGTTTGTGTTCTGTTTTATCTCTAATAAGTAGTCTTTTGAGCAAAAATCTTCACCAAAGCTACTAGAAATCAGTCTCTGTCATGAAGAAAGATTTCTGGACTGAATAAATAGCTGGTTTGGGTTTTTATTTTAAAAACAGTTATGTTGAACATGGTGGTACATGCCTGTAATCCCAGCAATCTGGGAGGCTGAGGCAGGAGGATTGCAAGTTTGAGGGCAGCTCAGCAACTTAGTGAGGCCCTAAGCAACTTAGTGAAACCCTGTCTCAAAATAAAAAGTATAAAGTTATTTAGGGATGGGGTAGAGAGAGAAGATGGGAGGGGAGGGGATGGGGGATGGTAGAGGATAGGAAAGGCAGCAGAATACAACAGACACTAGTATAGCAATATGTAAAACAGTGGATGTGTAACCGATGTGATGCTGCAATCTGTATACAGGGTAAAAATGGGAGTTCATAGCCCACTTGAATCAAAGTGTGAAATATGATATGTCAAGAACTATGTAATGTTTTTAATAACCAACAATAAAAATTAAAGAAAAAAAATAAAGTTATTTAGGGAGGTGGCTCAGTAGTTGAGTGCCCCTGGGTTCAATCCCCAGTCCAAAAAAAAAAAAAAAAAAAAAAAGGTCTAGGGATGCAGCTCCATGGTAAAGCATCCCTGAATTCAATTCCCATTTAAAAAAAAAAACACAGTTTTTAAGTCCAGAATAAGAAGAAATATGCTATCATGAGTCAACAGTGAATAAACCCAATGCAAAAACCCATAGTAAGTGTATGATGTTTAATTTTAACATTTTGGGAAAATGAAAACAGAAAAACAAATATTTATTTATATAGTATCCACTCAGTTTTAGAGAATTTTGGGCTAAAAAATAAATAAATAAAATTAGATGTAAGCATTCTTAAGAAGTCTAAAGTCTATTTTAGAACCCCTTATTAAACAACCTTGACTAAACACACAGCGTATGGGTCATTTAAAAAAAAATTTATATTGTGTGTATGTAACAACAAATTCCACCATTATGTACAATTATAATTCACCAATAAAAGACAAGGGGGGAAAGGAGGAAAAAATACTATTGTAGGGCCAAAAGCAATCAATGTAATCAATTACAAAGGTCGGAAGTAATTATAAAAAAGTAAAAGGGCCTATTCATTAAAGTAGAAGGAAAAAGAAGAGGAAGAGGAGAGGAGGAAGGGCAGAAAGAGGAGGAAAGAAATACAACCCAATCAAGAAATACAGATAATAACCAGGAGGGGTGGTGCACATCTGTAATCCCTGTGGCTTGGGAGACTGAGGCAGAAGGATCACAAGTTCAAAGCCAGCCTCATCAACTTAGCAAGGCCCAACACAAGTGAGACCATCTCAAAATAGAATATAAAAAAAGGGCCTGGGAATTGGCTCAGTGGTTAAGTGCCCCTAGGTTCAATCCTTGGTTTCAAAAAAAGAAAGAAATACAAAACATATGGGTAATAAATAAATAGAAGGAAAACCAATAGAGTGGAGAAAGGGATCAAGGGAAAGAAGAGGGGAGAGAAAAGGGAAGTATTGGGGTTCTAAATGGAGCAAATTATGTAATATATGTTTATGAATATGTTAAATGAAACTCTATGTATAACTATAATGCACTAATAAAAAAAGATAGTCCCTTACTATATGACAAGCCAGATACAGGTTGAAAATTGAGTAAAATAACACATTTATAAATGATTATTTAAATTCAATATATCAGTTAAGAATAGGTTCCACCAATATAACCTGAACAAAAATTTTTTGCTCTCATGTAAATCCCCCAAAAAGTAGCCTAGGGCTGCTGTGGGGGCTTCACAAACAGCAGTGACCCCCAATTCCTTCTATCTCCTTGTTCTGCTACACTTATAGTGTGACTTTGATCTCATAATTCAAAAAGGGCAGCAGGAAGGATGAGGGGGCAAGAAGGATATGCTGTCTCTTTAGAGCCACTTCCTAACAGTAGCACATACTTCCATTCTCATTCCTAGAATTTAGTCACATAACCACACTCAGATGCAAGGAAGGCTGGATTTGTCTTTATTCTGGGGAACTAGTCATCTTGATAAAAAGATTGGCTCCTATTTGGAGGAAGAAAAATAGAAGGGTAATGGAGGAAATAGCAGCAATCTCTACAAGCAAAATTTTAAATCCTGTTAATTTTAAATTAAAGTTGCAAATCAACTAAGGACTCCAACTGCAAGCTAAGTGGTACACAGTGTAACAGTGTAAAAAAAATGTACTCACCTATTAAGAGGAGATAATACACAAGTCAAGTAATCTGTTTCCCTGGTCTTTGGGGAGGACTTTATTGACTATTGATTCAGCAGCATAAGCACAAGGAGAGGGAGCTGTGTTTCTACAGGGTGAAAGCATCCCATCCGATCTACTTAGTTCTCTGAAGGAGAAACACATTGACCAAGGTGGGAACTGTGGTCATGATTTATTTAGACTTTCAAGCAGTCTTAAATAACTTTCTACCCCAGAAATTTTTTAAATGTGGTTAAGGATTTATCAGAGAAAGAAAACTAATTTAGAAACAGGACAGAAAAAAAAAATCATTGCTCCAGGGCCGGGGTTGTGGCTCAGCTGTAGAACACTCACCTAGCACCTGTGAGGCATTGGGTTTGATCCTCGGCACCACATTAAAATAAAGGGGGGCTAAGTGGGTAGAGGGTGGCTCAGGGATAGATCACTCGCATAGCATGTGCAAGGCGCTGGGTTCAATCCTCAGCACCACATAAAAATAAATAAGTAAACTGAAGGTATTGTGTCCAACTACAACTAAAAAACAATTATTTGGGGGAAAAAAATCATTGTCCCAGATAAAGAAGTACAACTGTACATCCCCCCAGAAACTGGTAGATTTCTGATATTATTAATGTATTTGAAAATGTTAATTAAATGTGCTGAATTGGTGAGGTACATTACAAGACGTCACAAGGCGTTCACACACACATACACAAGTGGAAAGTGGCAGATGAGAAGCATGAGGAAAATGAACTTTGTAGAGGACTCTGCCTAGAGGCTGATGTCTCTACACTGGCAGGAATAACACAGGTAAGGGTCTAAAATCCACACTGTACTTTTCTTCCCTGATATCAATACCCATTAGGTTGCCATGATCCAAAGAGTATACAAAATGATAGGGGAAATCAAAATAGTATTTAAAATCATAGTGTTAGAAACCCAACTAAAAGCTTTTTAGCTTTGATGAATCTTCGTTGGTTCATGCCTGGAATATTGCCGATTATCCTGGGCACTGTAATCTCAAAGAAGACATAAAAAAGAGACGAAGGAAAAAATAAAAAATACAAGATGATACCATGTAAACAAAACCAAAGTCATGAAACCTCTTTAATGTGAAAGGCAGATTCAAGTGACAGCCACTGAAGATCTCAGCGGGGGGTTCTTCTTGGGATGGACTTGAGCTGGTTAGTCCCATCCAGGAGCACTGAAAGGCAGCCTTTGAAATTAAAGAAAGCTAGATTAGCATAGATTAAAAAAAGAAATGATCCTTTATGCAGAGGAGAGTAAACCTAAGAAAACTATTTTCCACACAGACTTTATAAATTGTGAATATACATTTAAAAGGGTTTGATGCTTTCCTGAGTTTTAATGCATATTTTGATTAGAGGACTTTTCAAAACCTTATTTCTAGCTAATAAGAAGTTCATGTGGGAACACAGACCTATGTATTTCTTTGTCTTTGGTGACTAAGTCAGGAAGAGTATGCCAGGCTGGCTTATTATTACCTCATTTCTCATTCGGTATTTCTTCATAGAATGTTTTTGATAAATCATACAAACAGGGCTGGGGTTGAGGCTCAGGGGTAGAGTGCTTGCCTGGCATGCGTGAGGCACTGGGTTCGATCCTCAGCACCTCATAAAAATAAAATAAAGGTATTGTGTCCATCTACAACTAAAAAATAAATATCAAAAAAAGCATACAAACAATGTGTGTCTATACCTCAGACACCTGATAGTGTACACCTGAGAGCTCAAACATCCTGTCACAATCCAGTGTCCATATTCCAATCCAGTTGCTGGCACTCAGGGGACTAGAATGAACACAAAATGCCAAGGGAAAGAGACATTCGTACCACCCTTTGAGAACAGGGGCAAAACCCTCAATATTGGCTGTGCCAACTAATGTGCCATGCTGTAGGCCTACAGATACCCCAGGTATTCAAAACCCTGTGGAGTCCCTCCAAGCCTGCCACAGACAGTTCCAGTACGTGGGGAGTTCCAGGATGCTTGCATTTGTTCACATTCTATTTCCTCAATTTAGTGACTACCAAGACTGTAGAATCAAGCCAGTTAATTGTGGCTTTAAAAAATTATTTTAGCTAGCGCCCTCTCCTATCTCGCCTGCCATGTGACATAAAATATCTATCACAGGTTGCTTGTGTTTTACTCATATATGTGACAAGGGTTTTCCTACCACCATCTTTTTCTCATAGGTTTGTGAATATCCTTCTCCCTCCTGATGCTAAAGAGATTGCTACTCGCTTTCGCTGGTGGCAGCCACGACACGATGGCCTGGACCAGAATGACTGGGCTATTGACAATGTCCTCATCTCAGGCTCTGCTGACCAGAGGACTGTCATGCTGGACACCTTCAGCAGTGCTCCAGTACCCCAGCATGAGCGCTCCCCGGCAGACGCAGGCCCTGTTGGGAGAATTGCTTTCGACATGTTTATGGAGGACAAAACTTCAGGTACTGTTCACTAATGCTAAATAAACTACAATGGACACGCAGTCATTTGTGTGGGTCTTCTCTAAAGAGTGAAATGTGGGGGCTGGGGGTGTGGCTCAGTGGTAAAGTGCTTGCCTAGCACATGTGAGGCACTGGGTTCCATCCTCAGCACCACATAAAACTAAATAAGTAAAATAAAGATATTGTATCCATCTACAACTGAAAAATTTAAAAAAAATGTGGACCCTTTCAGCTACCCAGGTGGTGCAGAAACAGGGAAAAGTTGTCATCCTTTGCTCTTCACAACCTTCCTAGTTGACATTGTAACTAAATCTTTTTTTTTCATTCAAGCTGGTTAGTGCATTTTAATAAATAGCACTTTGGGGGCTGGGATTACGGCTCAGCGGTAGAGTGCTCGCCTAGCATGCGTGGGTTCAATTCACAGCACCACATTAAAAAATTTTAAAAAATAAAAACTAAACGAATGGAATAAAGGTATTGTGTCCAACTACAACTAAAAAAAATAAATATTTGGGGCTGGGGATGTGGCTCAAGCAGTAGTGCTTTCATGCTGCCTGGGTTCGATCCTCAGCACCACACACAAATAAAGATGTTGTGTCCACCAAAAACTAAAAAATAAATATWAAAAAAATCTCTCTCTCTCTTTAAAAAAATAATAAATAAATAAATATTTAAAATAAATAAATAGCACTTTATAATTTTATGAACAGTAATTTTCTCTTCTTTGAATATTTTCATTTCTATATTTTCTGTTTTCCACTTTCAGTAGAAAGCCAATATTTCCTGGCTACTTGTTTTAATATCCAAAGATAAAATGTGTCTGATGGACACATTTGTTACTTTCATATTTCAGAAAGAATCCCAGGTTTTGCTTGTCCTGGGTCCTGCCTGTTATCCTTCCTTCTCAATAGGGGCAGTTCAGTGATACTGAACACTAAAAAGGACCTCTAAATACTATTCTCATGTGTAATGTATTGTTTTCTTTTTAAAAAAAATTTAGTTGTAAGTGGACACAACACCTTTATTTTATTTATTTATTTTTATGTGGTGCTGAGGATTGAACCCAGTGCCTCACTCATGTTAGGCAAGTGCTCTACCACTGAGCTACAATTCCTCCAGCCCTATTGTTTTCTTTTTATTTCATACCATTCTAGTAATGTTAAGTGGTATTATGTGTTAAGTATGTGCCTTTGCTGTGCTTTGGTTATACTACAGAAAACAGCATTTTCATAAAAAGTAGTGATCTTTAATTATGTATCTCATACTAACCCTGCAAATGTATCTAAATGGTAAATTTAGATACACATCACTGTAGCTATGCACACAGGGGGATCATGTTTTATATTCAGTTCTAGCATAACAACCTGGATAATTTTAAAATAATAAAACTGGGAAGAATCTTCCAGGGGAATGATGCTTATTTATATAGGGGAAAAATTGAAATGTGTGGAGTTTTAAATACTTAAAATACTTAATTATTAATGCTTTGTTGTAAAAGCAATGTGTGTTCTAAGTGTGAGATTGATAAAATGCAAAAAATCATGAGAATTAAAATAAATATCACTTAGGGGACAACCATTATCAATATTTTAGCATATTTTCTCAGAGTATCATTTTTCCTTTGTCTTTATGTAAACATAACAAAATTATAATCAAATCATACATGTATTTTGTAACCTGCCCTTTTCATTTAGAATTGAATGCTGATTTTTTTCCTCATGTCCTTAAGAACATTTAAAAAATAAAATTGTAATAGCTTTATAATATTTAATCATAGTTTATTCCTTTGACGTTGCTGAATATTTAGGTTAATTAATTTCATCCCATTTATTAGTATAGCATGTAGCACTATGGTGTAACTGTAAATATTTACTATAAAACCACACTTGCAAATATAAAAAGTTTAAAATGTCCCTCATCATTAGCAAATAGTCTTATTCTCTTAAGAAGTTTATTAAGATTTGCTTATGTAAATCTAACTGAGAACTTTGCTAAGTAACTCATTTATTTTTCCCTGTGCAATGATTTCCATTAGGGAGTTTAAAAATCTGAGAATAATTTTAACACTGCTTCTATGTGAATAAAAGCAAATACAGACTAATTTTTCAAGTACCTTACTCGTGATTTTTACTTTAGAATTAATTGGTGATATACAGTTGAAAGAACAAATTTTCTGACTCCTGTCTGTCTTACAAAAACGGTATTCCTAAAAACCGGAACATCTACTTACAGAATAGTTTCTGATATTGCAGAAGAGATTGCTGAGTTAGTTGATTAATCCTCTTTCATCAGGATTGCAGAGTTCTAGCATAAAATGAAATATGTACCATAGAATAAACTGGCTCAGAGTATTCTAATTGGAATTCAAATTTCTGTGCACTTTGACTCTTGAGTCCTATATCTGTGATGTAGGATTAAATGTGTCTCCAAATCCCTCATAGTGGAGACACAGATAAGGATATTGCAGTAGCCATTTGAATCCCAGAGATAAGCTGCTTGTTCTACAGGCACATGTTATGCTCAGACAAAATCAAACAGACACACCATGGGTGAAGCCTGAATTACAATGAAATTGCTTGGTCTCTTCTCTGGATCCTCTGAGGCCATCTGACTCTGCTGCTTGTATCCTGGCCCCAAACCTCCAGTTATACTTGTTCATCTCCATTGTAAATGTGGAGCTAACCAGGAAACTTCTAGAGAAAAGTTGGACCTGTAAGATCAAAGTATATCATTAGATGAAATTTATGATATGTTTGATTTCTAATCATTCTGGGATAAAAAATAGTAAAAACACCTACACCTCTTCCAAAAGAGAAAGAAAATTGTGAGAGGTGTGTGTGTGTGTGTGTGTGTGTGTGTGTGTGTGTGTGTGTGTGTGTGTATGTGTTTAAGAGAAAAAGACTCAACACATAAGATGTATTCTGGACTAATCAATTCAATGTCTTGCTATTTAAAGTTTACTTTAGAGTCTTCCAAATCTATCCCATCAGTTTTTGTTTTGTTTTGTTTTTGTTTGTTTTTCTTTTGATTACCTTTCTTCAAAGAGTTACTGTTGATCTGGTTTAGAAGAAGAATCAAGCTTTATTTAAAGAAATAACTAGAATACTTAAAAATCCATACCTAAATATTCAAATATGAAGAACATTGTTGACTTAGATTTACAATAGCATTATTTTAGAGATAATCTGAGTTTCTAAAATAATCTTAGTTTTTGCCAAATTAAGTATAGCTTCACAGTTCAAAATTAAAAGTAGTCTTTATAACAAACTGTATAATACAAAGTTTTAATTTTTCTCAAAAAATTTCTGGGCCCTCTCCCAAAAATCATCTCAGTAAATAGGGTTTTCCAGGATCTGGGGAAGGGGGAAATGGAGAATCACATATAATGGGTATAAAGTTTCTGTTATATAGATGAATATGTCCTATTATGTATTATGTACAACACACTACCAACAGTTAAGAATATGATATTGTGCACTTAAAATATGTTGAGGATAGATCTCATACAGTATCTTCTTATTCAAAAAGAAAACACATACACATGCAACGCACACACACACAAGAGAGAACATAAAGAAATATTTGAAAGTGATGGTATGTTTACCTTGGTCATGGTGATGGTATCACATGTGTGTGAGTATATCTGAACTTATCAACTTATGTATATACTATATGTGTACAATGTTTGAGCCTCATTTATACCTCAATAAGGCTACAGAAAAATTTTATTACTATCTTTCTAACTACACAGATAATACTACTAGAGTTCAAGTAGAAGCAACTAACTCTCTTCCCCATCATGTTACTAAAAATTCTTTCTCTTTTTCAGATGCTGCTTACAAAGTTAAATCTGTCAAAAAATTAGATAAATATTTCCCTTTGATTTTTCACTTGCAACACATACAATACAAATCTGCTCTTTTTCTTTGCAAGTGTAGACTAATTCCATTACTTATACTTGTCTGTGTGCTTAAAAAGATAGTGTGTATATCTCAGTAATCCCATTATCCATGTTCAAAAAAACAGTATATTTACATTAGTGGGATTGTACATACTGTATGTAAGAGAGGTTTTTACTTAAAATAATTCTAATTCTTGCAGCCCTACCTGAAATAAAAATGTTAGTTATGACTGAAGAAAATAATTCTTAATCTTGCTTAAAGTGAAAATTTACTTAAAGCATTTTTGTCATAAGATTTTTCTTTTTTTTTAAGTGAATGAACATTGGCTATTCCATGATGATTGCACAGTAGAAAGGTTCTGTGACTCTCCTGATGGTGTCATGATCTGTGGCAGTCATGATGGACGAGAAGTATATGCAGTGACCCATGACCTGACTCCCACTGAAGGCTGGATTATGCAATTCAAGGTGAAAACGTCATGGCCTTGATTACATAAATAACCATACTTAAGCAATATAACCAATCAAAAACATCATAGAGACAAAGATCACCTAATATTTCATTGACTTAATACATAGCTTGAGAAATAAAATTTAATATTTAGGTAACATACAACTCACCTATATATTGCTTAGTGATTACAAATATTTCATTTCTGAACTATTTCAAGGTGAATCTTTCATAAGAGTAATTGTGGTTTTGCTCAGGATTAAATATTGATCGAACAAAATATTGATAATAAAAATGTAAGATACTGATTCCAACTCCCTGACTTAAATCACTATATACCTAATCCCTTAAGAGAAGGCTTCAATGGTTATTCTTTTCTTTTACAAGAGCATTTGGATGTTTCTAAAGGAAGGAAATTATAGAAAACAAGCATGAGTAGAATTCATGCCAGGATCAACTTTKGCCAAGATTTTGGTTAAGGATTTTTGTCAACTGATTTATTTGGTCTACCTAAATCTCACTTTTTTTAGGGAAAAAAATCACATTATGACTGTCTCCATAAATGAAGGGTGCTGTGCTTTATTAAAAGTAACTTCTATTCTCCTTCATGCATCTAACTTACAGTCAAAAGTGATTTATTGAGAGTCATAAATTGTATGACAAAATAATAAAATTGGTAAAGCTGTTAGCAATCCTTCTTGGTCAAGTATTCTGCCAAATAAAAGTGCCAGGACATTAACAAAACAATTTGTAAGAATAACCCAGGCCTTTCAAGGCAATCAGCCAGCATGGCAAAAGCACAGTTTTCAGCTTCTCTCCAAACCCCCTACACAATACATTTGGCACTTTCTATAATTTGTCACCTTGGGCAACTTGTCCACCTCCCCTGTCCATTAGCAGAACAAGTAATGAACCTGAAAATACAGTATGGTGTATACTAAGTGTTTAGCAGCTTTCTTGCAGCCAAGTCCTTGGAGCAGAAATATGTAATACGGTTTTGATGATCTTGATGTTCTTTTGATTTTCTGTTTACTAGATCTCTGTTGGATGCAAAGTATCTGAAAAAATTGCCCAGAATCAAATTCATGTGCAATATTCTACTGACTTTGGTGTGAGCTGGAATTATCTAGTCCCTCAGTGCTTACCTGCTGACCCAAAATGCTCTGGAAGTGTGTCTCAGCCATCTGTATTCTTTCCAACTAAAGGGTGGAAAAGGATCACCTACCCACTTCCTGAAAGCCTCGTGGGAAAGTAAGTAGAAAATGTAAATTCAAGACTGAATTCAAGCATCACATCCAGCAGTTGATTAGGAATACTGTCATCAAGTCAGAAATTATGTGTAATTGTGTGGAAAGTGTTCTCAACATCCCTAAATCTTAGGGTGCTCTAATCAGTGACTTCCATGATGAGCTGACTTCACGAGACCTCAAGTTGCAATCCTCAGACTTGAGAAAATGATCCTTGGCATATCCTTCCATTTTCCACACTATCATCACTTGGAAACAGCAATAATGATGGCCTTGGCGCTAGATGAAAAGGTGTATGTGACCTTATTGACCTTGTGGACTGTAGTCCACCATGCACATATGCTTTCTACATCTATAATAGGGAAAACTGCAAATCCTAACTCTTTGTGCTATTTGTACAAGTCTGGCTTGTAGGTTCCATTTTTTCTTATGAAAACATTGTGTTCCGCACCTTCAGTGAAAAGTAATTAGCTTGGAGCAGTGGTGAGCCAAAGTGGTCAAACCATGCTCTGGAAAGTCTGTGGATATGTTAATTTAAGGTAATTCCAAAAGAGTTCCCTTCTACTATAAAATTAAGACAAGAGACACATTAAACAAAATGACAAGTGTACCTCTACTAAATTAATCATATAGTCTAGCTAAATGAAAAGCCTTCTTGTGAAACAGATTTTGATATATGACCAGAACATACAGAGCTTTTGAATAATGTGCATACACACAGCTTTTCCAGTGTCCTGTAGTTATCACTTACTATATGACCACTCACAGCTTCCTGGAATACATTTTCTGGAATGAATCAGTTAGCATGCTAGGAAACTAAACCAGGATGTTTTCAACTACAAGTAACAAAAATTTTAAAACCAATTCAAATTGGCTTAATTAGAAATGAAATTTGTTTTATCTTTGATGAAAGAATCCAAATATAAATGGACACTGGGATTGGTTGATTTGTAAGTTCAACATGTCTTCAAGGATACTATTCTTTCTTATTCCTTTGTTCTTTGCTCCTCTGTCCTCAGCAATGGTGTCATACTCAGCTCTCAGGCTGATTCCACTTTTTCTTTTCTTTTTTTGGTACTGAAGACTTAACACAGGGGTGCTTGATCACTGAGCTACATCCTCGGTTCTTTTTGTTTTTTATTTTGAGATAGCATCTCTCTAAATTGCTCAGGGCCTCGCTAAATTGCTGAGGCTGGTCTCAAACTTGCAATCCTCTTGTCTCAGCCTCCCAAGCTGCTGGCATGCACCACTGCACCCAGCCTGATTCTACTATTGAACACAAGATGACAACCAAAAACAGGAGCAGAATGCTTCCTTTCCTATGTCCGGTGGGAGAGAAAGAGAGTTGCTTTACTCTCCAGTAGATCCAGAATGAGTACCTCTTTGCATCCCATTGGTACAAATTAGCCTATTCCTGAGCCATTCAACAGTTAGAGAATTCATAATCCAATGGTACCTCATATGAATCATGGGGATGAAATGGATGCTGGGAAACACCTCAGTACTCACTTGTTTCCCCATCCCATTCTCTCTCCCTTCTTTTCTTTATAATGAAGTATAATTTGCATCCAGTAAAGTGCAGACATCTTAATTGTTGAGATCAATGAGCTTTTACTCTTGTGTAACCCATGTTACCACATCATAAAACAAGATACAGAACATTTACATAACCCCAGAAAGTTCTTTCATGCACTTTGTACTCTTTAAACCAAAATTGTGTGACTTATCTTAATATAGGGTTAATTGTGAGCCTTGTTTTACCCCCAGAAGACAGAGAAGAACAATGATAAAATTTAAAATCTCAGGGAAATTAGCCTTTAATATAACCCTTTTCTAATTAGCATAGTTACTCTGAGAATATTGATCATCTTCAGGGAACTCAGAAGTTGCCGTTTTCCGGCTGCCTGAGGGCTGTGTGATATGTGGCCAGCTCTGTGAAAGGCTTTGCTCTCCTTCTGTACAAGTTCAGAAATGTAATCAGTGAATCTTAAGTTGCCTCACAACCACCGAACTGCAGTTCACCTGATCTATGAAAGTTATAGCTCTGTATTTTAAAACATTCCTATTGCTCACATGGAGATTCCACTGATTTTCATTTTGTTTTGCAGGTTTGCTCAGATATTGTAAAATGTAGTAGAAACCAGCTTTACAGCTCCATGACTAGAAACAGAAAATGGTGATCAGAAAATGTTTTTTATTAATTCATTTCATCTAGCGAGAGATTCTTAAATGTTTTTTTTCCTCTAGTACTAACTATATATGCAGAATAATTGACTTAAAAAATTAACTTTTGTTTTATCAATAGTCCAGTAAGGTTTAGGTTCTATCAGAAGTACTCAGATATGCAGTGGGCAATAGATAATTTCTACCTGGGCCCTGGATGCTTGGACAACTGCCGGGGTCATGGAGATTGCTTAAAGGAGCAGTGCATCTGTGATCCGGGATACTCTGGGCCAAACTGCTACTTGACTCACACTCTGAAGGTAATGTTAAAGCCCCTATAGAAGCATTTATTTGCATTAGAGGGCATGCCTAGGAACCAGTTTATGTGTATGATTATTGATCTAACACAAGATTCTTTGGGTACCCCAGGAAATAAATCCTTTGGGCAGAAACTAAAAAATATGTCTTAGGTTAATCTTAGCTACTGGAATATTAGGAACAACAATTTATGCAATTCATAAAATAAGTCAGACTATATGGGTCAAAGAAGATGAACACTTTGTTTTCTTTTTTTTTTTCAGGGATTGAACCTAGGGGTACTTTTATATTTTTTATTTTGAGATAGAGTCTCACTATCTCACTAAGTTGCTTAGGGTCTTGTTAACTTGCTGAGGCTGCCTCAAACTTACAATCTTTCTGCCTCGGTCACCCAAAAACTGGAACAGGTTTCTTTAAAAAAAAAAAAAAAAAAGCTTAATTTAAAATCAATAGTGAATTCTTTCTTAAGCCTCATTTTTTTTTTCAATTAATGCACCATTTGAATAGGGCTGTTGTTGTTATTGTTGTTAAATAAAGCAAATAATACAGACATATTATCACAAAAGATCAAATTTTCAAGCAGGATTAAATGAATTTTAGTTCAGAAAATTCCGTGTTTTGGTTTGTTGACTGCTGAAATTCGGTTATATATAAAAAATAAAAAGGTCATTTTTGGAGGTGTTAGCTGTCCCATCATTATTTAACATGCAAAACAAACACAGTTGCTCAACACAGTTGCCATATACACATTTTATTTCTGCAAATAAGTATAAAGCATTCATCATTATGGCAACAGAAAAATGGCTAAGCGATAAAGCACAAGTGATTAAAATCCAACAACTGAGAGGCAAACGATGTAAACAAAGCCTGTTCTGTCATTTTTGTTTCCTCCAGTACTTCCACAACTTTGGAATTGAAAAATATTAAAATTAAAATTGAAACGATGCTCACTTATGCCTGAAGATATTAGTCCATTGTTAACAAATGGAGTTACCACATGAGAAACATAGCTTTATAGCCATGGGTAGTAAATAAACAAAAAGAATCTAGTCTTTCACAAACATGCCAATTTCATTAGTATTCCTAGGTTGGATAAGAAATTACACAAATCTAAATGGTGAATTCTGATTCATACCCTTCTAATGAGAATCTGGACAGTCAACCACTCATTTCTTCTAACTCGTGCTCTTTCATATACACCTTCATTTATAAAAATTATGTTCATTTGTCACCCTTAGTGAATAAAGTAAAACTGACATGTGATCGCATGTCTTTAATTATAGAGCTGACTGTGTTCTAAGTTTGAGGAAAAAGAGGGTCTATTTAAATCATTTTAACTAGCACAGAAAAAAAATGTCATTTTTTTCTGGATACAATTACTGAAAATCACAACTCTAGCAAACAGTTTTATATTAAATATTTTCATCATTTAAAAAAAATTATCTCACTGGGCATAGTGGCACATGCCTATAATCCCAGCAGCTTAGGAGGATCACAAGTTCAAGACCAGCCTCAGCAATTTAACAAGGCCTTAAGCAACTTAGAGACCCTGTCTCAAAACAAAAAAAAAAAAAAGAAAGAAAGAAAAAAATGGCTGGGGATGTGGCTCAGTGGTTAAGCACCACTGGGTTCAATCCCTGGTACCAAAAAAAAAAAATTTATGTCAACTGAATGAAAAATTATATTATGGACAAAATGAATGTACTGTGAACAGAAAGAAAAGAAAAAGAAAATCTTGGCAATGATATGAGGGAATAAGCTAATTTGTCATAAAATGTAGCTGTGTACCTTTATTACTCTTTGGAATAAAGTCTCTTTAGAAAATAGACTATTCCTAATTGTTGATCATTTTTCGTTAAAAAGATAAGCCAGAGACTCAGGGAAAATGTTTTATTTTAGGTTTCAAGTATTTCTCCCCATCACCCTGCAACTTGGCTCTGATAAAACATGCAAAAAGTATGTCCCATGGCCTTCTAATTCTAAAGTTTCTTTTAACTTTAAACAGAAAGCTTTGGTTTCAAATGTTCTCCCCTAATCATTGAAGCATTCTAGGTTCACTGAATGCTACAAGTTGAAGGTTCTGGCTGCCTAAGGAGTCTCTGAAGTCAGGGGCCACACACTCCAGGACAACCCACTGGAGAATGTTGAGGGGAAGCATGAAAGTCTGCCTATATTCCATTTTTCCAAATATTTATTTTTATGCATGTTTAATAATATAATAATAAGTTACAACAGTACTTCTGTATGCTGTGTAAATTAATATATGTATTTGGAGTATGCACTTGAGTAAATTTTTACAAATGGGAGTGTTACTGTAGTTGACATTACAATTGTTTGAGATTTTTATCTAGACTTTACTTTCTAATTATTAAGCATTATTTAAGCAGTTATAATGATCTTCAATATATGGTGAAAGAGAAAATTGTGGAGATATCCTGTTGGCGTTTTAAAATATCTTTACATCACTGAAATCAGCTCCTATTTGTTTTAAATTCAATTAACTCTGTATTATCTTAAGTATTCTATGGGTATTATCTGAGGTTTTTTTTTCTTAAGCAAATTCCACTTACTTATTTTTTCAGACTTTCCTGAAGGAGCGCTTTGACAGTGAAGAAATCAAGCCTGACTTATGGATGTCTTTAGAAGGTGGAAGTACTTGTACTGAGTGTGGAATTCTTGCTGAAGACACTGCACTCTATTTTGGGGGATCCACTGTGAGACAAGCTATTACTCAAGATTTGGATCTCAGAGGTGCAAAGTAAGTCAATGTTTCATTATTTTTATTGCAACATAGCAAATTGGCCCCAAAACAAGGAACACCTGTGGAAGAAATTGTTATCTAGAATTTGAGCAGGGTGTGTTCCAATCCCTTATTCTGATAGAGAATATGTGCTTGCATTTAGATTCCTGCAATACTGGGGACGCATCGGTAGTGAGAACAACATGACCTCCTGCCATCGGCCCATCTGCCGGAAGGAAGGCGTGCTGTTGGACTACTCTACTGATGGAGGCAGGTTTTAGGGGCTAATGCCACACCTTCAAGCACATTCCCAAATTCCATCCAACATCCTTCAGAAACATCTCAGCAAAGCTTTGCTCACAATGGCAATCTAAAGAGTGACAAAGAAAAAGCTAAATATCTTGCTCCCATTACATGTTCCGTGCATGTGACTTCTGTATTAGGCAAAATCTACCCAAAAAAGGAATCAAGAGAGAAATCACATTAAAAAAATAAATAAACTCCAAACTTTATTAATGAAGAAAATCCCCACTAGCTTAACTAAAACTTGCTTATAAGTGACATAATTAATAAAATCGAATGTGCTTTTCCAAGTTAAAGATAATTTTTAAACATTTTAAAGCATGTTTAAAACTTTTGTGACAATAAGCAAATCGTAAATGCTACAGAGATCTACAAGAAAACCTCATTACTAGCAGTGAAAATATTCTGAATTCATGAGTCTTTCACAGAATAAATTCTGTTTTATTATTCTGCTCAACAAAATTCTGTTTTATTATTCTGGAGTAGCGAAGTAATAGACCAGCAATACCATGAGGTCTTTAGAAAACATGCTATAGCAAACACATATCATTCTGAATAACTAGTTGATTGAGGAATCTAAAGTATTTAGCCTTTCAAATGATATCTTCTTAAGTAATTTAACATTTCATCTTTTCAAACAGTAAGAGGCAAGCCTTAAGCCAGGTGCAGTAGCACATACCTGTAATCCCAGAGACTTTTGTTTCGTTTATAGTGCTGGCAATTGATATGCAGGGCCTTCTGCATATCAGGCAAGTACTCTACCACTGACCCATGTCTCCAGCTCCCAATTTCAGAGACTTGGGAGGCTAATGCAGAAGGGTCACAAATCTGAGACCGACCTCAGAAACTTAGGCCCCATCTCTAAAAAAAAGAGATCTGGGCATGTAGCTCAGAGGTATAGAATTCCTGGGTTTAATCCCAATACCAGAAAAACAATAAGAAAAAATAAACTTCATACTAGTCCAACTAACTATAAGTGCCATATAATTATAATAGCTATATTTTTTAAATACTAGAAGTTATTGTCATAGAAACATGAATATGTCTTATAGTTTATGAGAAATAATGCCTAAGAAGAATCAGAATTAAATTTTAAAAGCAGAAAATAGGTCACCTTTACTTTAATATTTATTTTGGTCAAGTATTTTTAAATATCCTTCCCCTCATATCACCAACCTCATATTGAAACAGTGTTTATAAGTGGTGAATAACTACCTTAAAGTCAGCAAAATCAATTTTCATTTCCTAATTGAAGAGTGTAGTATCTGCAGTACACTGGTGATTTATGGGATTTTTTTTGTTATTTTGTTGGCATGTTTATATATATAGGAATTACTTGGACTTTGCTCCATGAAATGGATTTCCAGAAATATATTTCTGTTAGACATGACTACATACTTCTTCCCGAAGAGGCGCTCACCAACACCACTAGACTTCGCTGGTGGCAGCCTTTTGTGATCAGCAATGGAATTGTGGTCTCTGGAGTGGAGCGTGCTCAGTGGGCGCTAGACAACATTTTGATTGGTGGGGCAGAAATCAATCCCAGTCAATTGGTGGACACTTTTGATGATGGTAAGAAATAAGGCATCAAACAGTTTTCTCTATGAGCTGTTTGTGTTCTTATGTCTTCATATGAGTCATTACATGAAAAGAACTTAGAAGAGAACCTAGCACATACTCCTGCTCAACAAATGTTCACTGTGGTTGTACCCAGTGGTTTATAAACATTCAGAGTTGGCTGCTGGTTCAAGTGTCAGCTGATAATTTAATAAACCCTGCAAAAAGTAACATGTCTTACTTCAAATGTAATTTGGAATTATAATGCCCCAAAATAATTTTAGTTCCTTGAGTAATTTCTGTATAACAGAGATACATATTGCAATGGCTTGAACAGTCTACCAAGAAGAGCTTTGTAATGATGCAAATTACCCAGAAAAGCAATTATGCTTTAAAAGTGGGGTAATCATTATATTAGCATTCAGTATTTTTTCCTAAATTTGAGTCCTCACCTTGAATTTATATATATTTAAGCAGTTAAATAAAATAAGTCCTAAGGAGTAAGCAAAATGTTACATCATAAACATAATTCAGCAATAAACCAATCAGTTCAAGAAAATAATATGCCGTATTGCTTCCAATTTGCCTTAACAGAAGGCACTTCCCATGAAGAAAACTGGAGTTTTTACCCTAATGCAGTAAGGACAGCAGGATTCTGTGGCAATCCATCCTTCCACCTCTACTGGCCAAATAAAAAGAAGGACAAGACTCACAATGCTCTCTCCTCCCGGGAACTCATTATACAACCAGGATACATGATGCAGTTTAAAGTAAGGGAAAGTGGCTCTTCAAAACAGAAGGGAGTGTTGTACTGGGGGATTGTGGGAGAATTTTTATTTGAACAGCTATAAGGACACGATTGATTTCATTCATTAATAAAGACTCTCTTGTGAATGAAGGAGGTAATCTTTCACAAAGGTCTTTGCTCAAGTATGATGACTTGAGCATAGACAGAATCTCTGAACATGTCAGGGAAGTAGCAAGAAGTATAACTGTAGTGTATCTCATAGATGTAATCTTGATTTCAGTTTCCCAGACCTTATAAATAAAAAGCTCAAGTAAGCGTCTCTGCCTACTTCTCGCTCTGAGACTCTCCTATGTTGCCCAGTTCTCTCCTTGTCTTTCCCCCACTCCATGCCTGTCATGTGTCTCAGATCATTTGCTTCTTGGTCCACCTTTTTTCAGTATATCCTTCAGTTTTCCCTTGTCTCTGACTTCACAAACCTGTACATTAGCCCAGTTGGAGCTCATGGGAACAAGAGGGAACTTTCAAATCTTTTTAGCTGCATATTTTATCTGTATATAGAGATAGAAGGGAAGGCATAACAGGTAATTAATAGAAAGAAAGAGTAATAGCAATTAATGTCTCTCCATTTCAAAACACACTACAAAAATGCAGTTTATAACTAGATACTTTAAGGACATCACTTATTCGAATTCCCTTATTTAAAAAGATTTTACTACAGTGGTGATTAATAGTAAGAATCTTTATTAGCAGAAATAAAAATGCATTTGCACCAGGCACGGTGGCGCATGCCTATAATCCCAGCAGCTCAGGAAGCTGAGGCAGGTGGACTGCGAGTTCAAAGCCAACCTCAGTACAAAGTGAGGCGCTACGCAACTCAGTGAGACCCTGTCTCTAAATAATTCACAAATAGAGCACTACAAACAGGTCTGTGGACCTGGCTTAGAGGTCAAGTGTCCCTGAGTTCAATCCCTGATACAAAAAAAAATAAAAGCATTCGCTTTTTGCTTTGGCACTGTTAAACTCTCCTTCAGAGACTAGAAAGTGAGGCAAGCTCCCCAATGCCACTGCTCCTTCAGGACTATTAGCTTTAGTGGCATGAAGGTTGTCCAAGGTCATATCTAGAGTTACACCACCCCTACTTCCAGGATGTTCCTTAAGAGTGAAAGTTTGTCTTCAGCCAGTCCCACACTGTGGCCCATATCAAAGGCATCACATTTGATTGAGTTGATGGGGGCTTCTCTTTTGGAGCTTCTGTCAATCCAAAACTGAAGGAGACTTGTAATTTTTGTCTCTAACCCAAGTCAATTAGTTTAAAAGAAAGTTTGTCCCCCAGAAATAGTTAAATATCACTGTATCTTTCAAAAACTGCATCCCTCAGTGGGCTGGGGATGTAGCTCAGTGGTGGTGGAGTGCATGCATGAGGCTGCAGTTTCCATCCCCAGCACTACAAAAGAGAGACACAGAGAGGGAGAGAAATAAACCCTGTATTCTTCAAAGTTACCATAGACTTTCTATGCTGCATCCCATAGCTCTCCTCCATTCCTCTCCTCTGAACCATTTGACACTATTGTCCTCACCTCTCCAAACTGTGGAAATGTCTTTCTCCTTGGCTTCACTGCTGGTTATCTTATCTCTACTTTTTTTTTTTTTTTGATACCAGAGATTGAACCCAAGGGTGCTTAACAACTAAGTCACAGTGTATTTTATGTTTTATTTTGAGACGAACTCTCACTAAGTTGCCTAGGTTCTCTCTAAATTGTTGAGGCTGGCTTTGAACTTGTGATTCTCCTGCCTCAGTCTCCTGAGTTGAGTTGCTGGGATTACAGGAGTGTGCCACTGCACCCTGCTCTTTGGAATCTACTTCTGTCTCCTTTTTTGCTTTTCTTCCCTCAGCCCTCTAAATGTCAGCATTTCTCAATGCATCTCAGATTTCTTCTCTCTTCCATATACATTGGCACTGCTGGGAATTTTATCCATTCCTCTAGCTTCAAGTCTCATAATCTGAAGAGTAGATCTCAAATCTGCATTATCTGACCTTGGCTCACTATTAACTCAATATTTCTAATAGCATCTACATGTTTCTGCTTTTTCTAATGAGCACCTCAACTTAACATGTCTAACAGTCAACTTAATCTCTCCCTTCTCCTCTTTCTGATTTTTCTATTCTGTTGGTGGCAGCACCTTTCACCTAGAAACTAGCTTGAAATATTAGTCTTTGACTAATTACTTTTCACAGCTAATCAATTCCTATACCCTTCTAATTCTAATTTACAATATTCTTAGCTTCTGTGGAATCTTCTGTTTGCACTCTCACCGCTCCATTCTTGTCCTAAGTCCACTGTCCACTAAGTACTCTTTTTACACCCAGACTCTCTCCACTCCTGACTTTGACATCAAAGTGTGATTGACATTTACAGCTAAGTTCATCCGTCCACTCCTTATCGATCTTCAATGACTCTGCATTGTATACAAAATTAAGATCAAATGCCTTACACTACAACTCATGTTCTTCCAAATTCAACTGATTTTTCTAACCTTGTCTCCCAATATCCCACATACTCTCTACTTAAGTTCAAACACACTATGTGCTGTGATCTACACTTCTGTGTCTGCTAACACTCATTCTTCCACCCAAATATCTTTCTCCTGTCTCTATCTTTCAGACTCTTCCCATTCTTCAAGGGGCAGCTCACATGCACTCTATTCAATAAATTATTTTCTAATCCATCTAATCAAATACAATTTTCCTTCCTATGAAGTACCACAGCATTTTACTTATATCCTTTATGATTCCTATTACATTGTTTCTTACTCTCCCTTTGAATTCAGAGTTGTTTTACTCAGGAGTGTATAGTCTGGAATTTTTAGTACTCATCTTCCCTTATATCAGCAATGAAATAGGATTTAATGATTAAATAGATTATTAGGACTTAAATTTGAATCACCAAATTTTATAGCATTTATGAATTATTAATGATTCAACCATTTGTTTTCACATCATCTGGGAAGATTTTATTCTTATGGAAAAGGAAAAAGCCCTAAGAATGGATATTAAGTAATTAAAAATTTCTACTTTGAATCCAAATAAATATTTAACAGTAGCATCAACAAAATTAGGATACCAGTGAAAATGTTTCAAAGCAGTAATGTTTTTAATATTTTTCCATAAATTCTAACATTACTTTCTTTTTAGCCAAATTATTATGTTACACTAATCAAGTTAGTTGAAATAGTTTCTTATAAAATCCTAAATTCCCGTCTTAATGGAAAACGGCATATCTTTAACAGAACTCAAAAGAATGAACCCTCTGTGTCCTGGAAGCTGCTCTATAAAACCATCTCTGAATATTTCTTGATTGCCTATCAGAATTGTGATGGAGAGAGATGGGATTTCTAATGAATGATATTAGATATTATTTAGTCTTGCCTGTATATTGACTCTTTGTGTTTGCTTTAGATTGTAGTGGGTTGTGAAGCCACTTCCTGTGGTGACCTTCATTCTGTGATGTTGGAATACACAAAGGATGCAAGGTTAGTCAAAATAATGTTAAATATTTTCCAAATTTAAATACACAATTCAAATGCTTATCGACTTTTAAAGCAGCTGCTTACAGTGAAGGAATCTTTCATATTAAAATGGATGGTTCATATGTATTCTCATACAGATTTACTTTCTATAAAATTTACACATCTTCAAATTTTCTCTTCAAACCAAGAAAATCAACAGCTAAGAAACTTTATATTTTAAAATTAGTAGGACACTAAAATTTTTTCTCAGAGTAGAACTATTTTATTCATGTTGGTCATTTTCAATCAACCTTAAGAAAATCTTTAATCAATGAATGATCTACATATGCTTCAGTGAAAGTCACATCTCCTAAAGCATATTAGCATTTTTGAATAAAAGTCTGATATAGTCCATTTTACCTTGTGACTAGATCTTATTGTCATGCATGCTATTATTTTATTCTGTTATTTGTGAATGTATCAGTGTAGTTTTGAAGAGTCAGAATATTTCTTATGAGAAATTATTTTCAATTTTTCCTTTTGTGATCTCTAATCATAAATGTTTATGAAACAGGAGGCTTCACATTAATGTGAAGGTAATCCAAAGCATTACCTTCACATTCAATTAGTTATAAAATTCTCTTATGACTTGCCTAATGCAACTCTTCTGGTTTCTGCAGGTCTGATTCCTGGCAGCTCGTTCAGACCCAATGCCTTCCTTCCTCTTCAAATAGCATTGGCTGTTCCCCTTTCCAGTTCCATGAAGCCACCATCTACAATGCCGTCAACAGCTCCAGCTGGAAGAGGATCACCATCCAGCTGCCCGACCATGTCTCCTCCAGGTGGGTTGCATGTGAAGTTTTGCCTAGTGGAACTCTCTGGCCATCTCTACAGAGTTCATGATAAAGAGAGGCCTGAGTTTTAGTTGTAGCCCTAGGACCCTCTCCTGTTTTCCTACCCTCTTCTTGCCAACCCATGCTCCCAAATAGCAACTGTATGTCCCAGAAAAAAATAAGAAATTATATCTTGTTTGTAAATTATTCATAGATCTCAGATTTCCTTTCAACTTTATACCATGCATGTGCCAAACTTATTCAGGCCCTGAATGCCAGACCCTAAACAAAGACTGGAGTTGGCACCAATTCTGCCCCAATGTTCTGCTCTCACAAGACTGTGCTTCTCATCCAGACAGGAGTACCCCCTGGGGTATATGACTGTCAGGTTGCCCAGAGCTGAGAATAAATACAGTGCTGTGCAATCTCTATAGAGCAGCATGCATTTTACTCAAAGATTTGGAAAAGGATACATCTCCAAAGGAACAAGCAGACACCAAAGTATTATGGAATAGAACAGAAAATTCACATAAAATTTTCAGGAAGACAAAAACTTCCAGAAAGGCATTTTGGAATATGTTCCCTGAGTCTGAGGGATACACGTTCACTTACCTCTATCTTTGGGGGGACTTCAGAAGTTTGGGAAGCCCTTTTCTCAAGTCCCCTTTCGTAGAGGCAGAGGTTGGGCGCAGCCATGGGAAATATCAGCTTACTGATGACTCTCTTCTGTTCTCTCTGGGTCTCTTCAGTGCGACACAGTTCCGCTGGATCCAGAAAGGGGAAGAAATGGAGAAGCAAAGCTGGGCCATTGACCATGTGTACATTGGAGAGGCTTGCCCCAAGCTCTGCAGTGGACACGGATACTGTACCACTGGCGCCATCTGCATCTGTGATGAGAGTTTCCAAGGTGTGAACCCTGGGCCGTTGTTGATTCAGAACACCAGGAGGTCTCCTTGTCTTAACATGAGTACAGGAGCCCATTAGGAAATGCATAGGAACTCCAGGCGAGGATTGAACACAAAATTATTTATCTTTGGAATTAATTTCCAAGAATAGTTTTATGTTTTCTTCATGGAAGTTTTTTTCTTTTTTCTTTTTTTTTTATTTTTTTTTTTTTGCAATACAGAATGAAATCCACTCAGGATATTCTATAAGTTTATAAGTGAATATGAATCCAAATAAATCTACTCAGGATACTCTGTAGTATTTTACATTTTCTATTTTTCATATAACTTCCTGTCCCACCCATACCCCCAACACTGAATTCCACTTCTTGGCCTCTCTCCTTCCTGGCCTAGCTGCCCAACCCTAAATACTTTGTCAATTGCTATTTTCCACGATGCATTTGTCTATATCCACCCTTCCTCAGCCTCCTTCAACAGCAGCTGCCACTGTCCTCCCAAGAAGTAGCTGATAACTCAAGATGCTGTGCTACCCAGGTCACTTTGTCACTCAAAATAACCTTCATGACTCAAAGACATCCATTCGTTTTCACTGCTTCAGTTTCTAGAGGCCAAGTGTGTATTTGGAACAGTGTCTACTCAGACCCTCACATCACAGGAAAATTTTTGTCAGCTTATTAGGAAGCTTATAATCCTGCTTTCCTTAAATCCAATATTTTTAACAGGTCATTACAAAGTTCACTTTACACAATTACCATTATATCCTAATAGCCTAATATCTGCCAAATAGCAAGTTAATTCTCTGAATTAATCTTATGCTTTATTGTTGACATAATATATACCAATCCCATTTTCCAGAGTCATTTAGTATTTATCTGCACATGTTTCCTATCATGAAGATAATTATACCCACTCAATAGGTAAAGAAACTGAGACTCAAGGAAGTTAAGTAACTAGCCAGACATCACACAGCTAGCAACAGCTGGAGAGAAGACAGTATTGGGGTGGTATTTTCCAGTCAACTTTGTTAAGTTCTCATAGATGAGAGATTTCTCCAAAGAGGATCAGAATTATACAACTTTCCCTAGGCATACAAGGTTAAAATCCATATATTTGAATTTCGGAGTAGGATATATTTTGATTTCTTAGTTGATGCTATTTCCTTGCCTCCAGATGAAGTGGCTATGATTAATGTAGACTGCTGCACATCTCTGATGTTAGAAATTACTTAGCCCTCTCCTTTCTCCTGTTGTCATTGCCACTGAGACCAGCTGGGTCCATCTGTGCATTAGCTGAAGAATTTTAACTTCAGGCAAACTAATGAATCAAATGTCCTCACAAGAAGTCCCAGATGTCTGGAATTTGCCCTCCCCATAAACCAACAGTACTTTGGCCTTTTGATTTTGAACTTTGGTGGACATTTAGAAAAGATGTACTGTTCGAATCACCTTGCTAACATAGGGTCTTACTTAAATGATAATATTTCAGCTCAGTGTTCTCTGACAGATAATTCCAGTTTATTCAGTATTTGTTTATTTATCCCAGAATTATTATTAAATATCTTAAATGGGCTAAGTATTTTGCTAGATGCAATGAATTAAGATTCAAACTCTGCACTAAGGAATGTAGAGCTGAAAGGAGATCAGGAACATGACTTATTTCTACAAAATCATGCTGGGAAGAAAGAAATTAGATTGGCCTCTCATGCCAGGTCAAGCTCCCTACTGAGACTTATCATTTACAAACAAGCAAGGCCTGGCCAGATGCTGTGGTATTTCAATAACAGATGCACACAAGCATTAACTACATTGGCACCTACATATTTTAATGAACATTATCTCAAAAATAATGGATGTTTTTCAACAACAAAAAAAAAGATTTATTTCTAGGAGTCTGTGTCTACTTGGTATTTTGCCATTCTTTTTTTTTTTTTTTTTAATGGTGGTGCTGAGATTGAACCTAGGGCATTGCACATGCCAGGCAAATGCTCTATCACTGAACCCCAGGCCCCAGGCCCTTGCCATTTTTGCAGTAACAATGGCTCAAATCTAAAACTGAATACTTATTCTCTGGTGATTCTGCTTGTTCCAGCCAATTCTGATTTCTGTGATTATTCCTTTACCCGTAGGTGATGATTGCTCTGTTTTCAGTCACGATCTTCCTAGTTACATTAAAGATAATTTTGAATCAGCAAGAGTCACTGAGGCAAACTGGGAGACCATTCAAGGTGGCGTAATAGGAAGTGGCTGTGGGCAACTGGCACCCTATGCCCATGGAGACTCACTCTATTTTAATGGCTGTCAGATAAGGCAAGCTGCTACCAAACCTCTGGATCTCACTCGAGCAAGGTAACCAACCCCCTGTGTTGTAGTCCAGACTCTGTTAGCTTTGATCTTGAACTTTAAGAAACAAATGTCACCAAGTAGTGGAAACCTAAATACTATTCGAATTTGGTGCAAGGAAGCATTATAAGTTTTACCAACTTAGAATAATTTTGCTTAAATTTATTGTAGAATTGTTGTATACTTCTTCACTCATATTGGCTGAGTGGTTGTAACATGGACACATATTGGGAGAAATATCCAAATATAAAAAATTGGCTAGGAAATCCTTATAGATAACTTAATGTTGACCATAGGCAAGAATGTAAAATAAATGTGTTTATGAATATTTTAGGAATGAAGACTTATACCTCTATTTAGCTTAAATTCAGTAAATAGTAATGGTGAATAAATGGATGAGATCATTAATATTCACATGCTCTATAGGAATTGGAGATTAGAATAGAATCAAATAGACAGAAATCCTGCAAATGGACTAGGAAATTAACAAAGAAAAGGATACCCCAGAAGGTCGAATTTCTTTCTCTACCTGCTCTTCCCATCCATTCTGCCTTAGCCAGAATAGTCACAGTTTTTCATCTGTGTAATTCAAGAAAAGATTCCAAGACTTTAGGAATGTTACTGAGTACTGGACTGGAATATTCCCCGGATGCTGATGAGTTTTCAGGAGCTATGAGGATATTTGAGATTTAGACATTTGACCAATGAGGTAGATGTTCACTTTATAAAATATTAGGAATGTATTTTCAGAGGCAGAAGAGCAGGTTTAGTGGTCCTTTATATGATAAACAATGTATGGATCCCTGTATGATAACCATGGAGATTCTAAAAGTTGTATCACCATAGGGATGGTGGATAGATGCATGAGGCTGTTAATATAAACCACTCATTCCCACTTTTTCCTACCAAAATGATATAGTTAGTCTAGAGACACCTGATGTCTTCCTTGACCCTATATACAAACAGCTGCACCAAAGCACTCGGTTAACAGTTACACAACATGTGGTACAAGTAACTTTATTTTAACTTAATTTATGCAAAGGCAAGTTTTAAGAAGGTTCTTTGTGTGACCATATACTCTAAATAGGGCCATTCTGTAAATCACTAGGAATCTTCTGAGGATATATTTCCTCTATTTAAAAGCTGTGTCTTCTAAGTGCAAGAATGCCTATGAAAAGCAAGAAGATGAGTGGGACAGAGCAGATGTGATCCAGAGCCTGCATGTTCCTAGTTTTCCTCATCTCTGACATCCAATCTTCTCTAAAATAGACATGATGATTTATCTTTGTCCAGATGCTCTTCTGCTTGGAGCTATTTGTAAAAAGCATATAGTATAAATATGGTAATTTTATTCCTTGCCTTCTCCATGGCCTCAGCTGCCCTATGGTCCATATTACAATTTGGAGAATAGAAGGTGTTTCAGGTGAAATACTCTAAAAAGATTTCTAGCATCATAAGATTCATCTTGAAAAGTCAAAGTTTTTTTCTTTTTGTAGAAAAGTAGCCTTCTGAGTTATTTTTCACAGGTCTAATATAAAAGATAACATAAATAAATTGTGTGACTAATATGATTTATTAATATTTATTTTTACTTGATATTCATCCCTTGGCATTATAGAAGATTGGTCCCAGGATTACCCACAGTTACGGAAACCCATGGAAGCTCAAGTCATATAAAATGATGTTAGGGGCCGCTGGGGTTATGGCTCAATGGTAGAGCTCTTGCTTGGCATGTGTGAGGCACTGGGTTTGATTCTCAGCACCACATATAAATAAATAAATAAATAAAATAAAGGTCATCAATAACTAAAAAAAAAAATTTAAATGATGTGGTATTTGGACATAACCTATACTAGTTTTTTTTCTTTCTTTCTTTCTTTCTTTTTTTTTTTTTTTTTTTTTTTTGGTACTGAGGATTAAACCCAAGGGTGCTTTACCACTGAGCCACATCCCCAACCCTATTTTATGTTTTGTTTAGAGACAGAGTCTCACTGAGTTGCTGAGTACCTTGTTTTTTGCTGAGGTTGGCTTGAACTCGAGATCCTCCTGCCTCAGCCTCCCAAGCCTCTGGGATTACAGGCATGTCCACAGCACCCAGCTGGACATCACCTCTTCTAAACCTCCTATATATTTTAAATCATTTCTAGATCATTTATAATACCTAAATACAACATAAATGCTTTATAAACAGCAGCTGTACTGTCTTGCTTGGATAATAATAAGAAGACACATTCAATACAGATGTATTTTTTTCCATATTTTCTGTCTGTAATTAGTTGAATCCACAGGTGCCAAATCTACAGATACAGAGAGCTGATTTTGTGAACTTTAATAACAATGATTAAGAAAGTATCTCTCCTTTGATACTTCCTGACTTTTGTCTTAATACAATTTCCACTGTGTTTTTCAGCAAAATTATGTTTGTTCTACAAATTGGGAGCACATCCCAGACAGACAGCTGCAACAGTGACCTGAGTGGTCCCCATGCCGTGGACAAGGCAGTGCTGCTGCAGTATAGCGTCAACAACGGCATCACCTGGCATGTCATCGCTCAGCACCAGCCAAAGGACTTCACACAAGCTCAGAGGGTGTCTTACAACGTTCCCCTGTAAGCAGCCTGGTTAGAAGTTACTGGACCAGTACCACAAAACTAGGCAGTGCAGAATCAAGACTAATGCAGATCTCCAAAGGTTATGTTACTACCGTCTGTTAGGATAGGAAGCAAGGAAGAAGGGCAAGAGGGAATAGAAAATATCAACTCATGCAAAGGCACTTTTTGCATACTTCCCTTTCTTTAAACAGTATTTCTGTTCCTTGGGAAACAGAATTTTTATTTTCTGCTTAGTATGCTAATTTGAAAATTTACTGAACATAGACGGTCATGTCAGTTTTGCTTAGCATTGTTCACCCACTTCCAGCACAGTGCCTGTCACACTGAATATTTCATGTTTGTGATCAAATGTGTTGCTATTCCTGGAGCAAGGGAAAAGAGGAAGAGAGGTGGAAAAGAAGTACTCCTCATTGAGTGGCTAATAAAATGCTACTTAGAAGAGCACTATGACCTAAGCAAATTCTATGCCCAAAGTTGTATTGATTCAACCTATTGCAATATCTAAAGTGGGCAAGTTACCTTCCAGAAAGTTCTGTTTGCTGGTGTTCAACCTCTTTTTCCTTCTATCTGTGACCCAGGGAGGCACGGATGAAAGGAGTCCTACTGCGCTGGTGGCAACCACGCCACAATGGAACAGGTCATGATCAGTGGGCTTTGGACCATGTGGAGGTCGTCCTGTGAGTATCTGATACATGGCATCCTGTGTCCATTTGAGAAAGGTTTGAAACTCCTTTGATCTGGCATGCTCCCTTGATTCAGTAAGAAATGTTCCTGATAAGAAGGTTCCCACAGGACCACTTTGGCTTACACTCTTCAGCAACTGCAAGCTATAGCTCAAGTCGACAGTGAAATAACAAAGCCCTGAATATATCTTAATGAACCTTAGAAAAAAAATCTTCAGTAAGTAAAACATTTATTTAAGGATTGACATCAGTGGTTAAATTGGATAAAACAAGTCTCCAGGTAAACGGGAAACAATATCTTATGCCAGATCTGGGTTGCCTTGCAAAATAGAATGATACCCTAAAAGAGAAGGATCTGTACTGGTCTATATACAGAGTGTTGGTGGCCAACATGCCCAATTACAGCCTCCTATCTTAGCCACAGATGCCCGAGGCATTCTCCATTTAATGGCATGACTGCATCTAGAATACAGAATCTGTGGTTTCCAATCCCTACCGACCAATACCAGCACCCAATGGGCTAAGGGTGTCCCCACTGGTTTCTCCCAGGAAATAGGGCTGTCACTACTTTCCCCTGGCCGGGTTGACTATTCCCTCGCAGAGAGATGACTTGCTTTTTCTCTAACAATCTAGTTCCTGTAGAACTGGAATGCTTATGTCTCGACGGGTTCGAACTGATGGCACCAAGTGGTTGGCAAGGAGAGGCGAATCTTCTCGGTAGATAGGTTCAAATGTTCATTCTGTTTACCAAATCCAAAGTGAAATMAGTCTTGTGGCTGATTTCAGTCATTTTGAAAGCAAATTTAAATGATTGATTGGTAGGAAAACTACCAGATTTGTTTTCTTTCGATCATAGCCATGAGCTGAACTCTTCAGTCTTGAGCTAGCCCTGTCTTAGTTCTCACTGAGGCACCTGCTTGCATGGCATCCATATCAACCCCGACTCCAAGAGCAACCCGGTCCCTACACAAGCCCCCACTGTGCGCTCTGCTGCTTTTGGACAACTTGCTGGGCTCTGCCTCCACAAGACAAAGTTGAAGTTTAAAGGAACAGTCCAGACTCTTTTGAATCTGAACATGAGGCTGATGTTCTACTTAGCTATGATTTCCACAGATACATGATTCCAGGAGAATAAAATGACTTGGGCTTAACATGAATATACATAGAGTGAGTCCCTAGAGAGATGTCCTCGTAGATCAAAATTCAACCCTCAAGTTGTTTTGCCCTGGCTACTTTCCTTACAGAGCAGTGATTCTCAGTCTGACTGAATGTCAGAATCACTTGGGAAGTTTCTGAAAGCATCAAGGAATGTCTTAATGTCCAGGCCCATCCCTGTGGATGGTTTAAATTGATCTGCAGTGGGAATTGAGCATCAATCAGTTTTTAAAACACCTCAGGTGATTCCAATAAATTGATTCAGACTCAAATTAGAGTCAATAATCACTCTTATCTCTCAGATTTCCTGCCAAGAAAGTTTACATTAATGGAGTTTCCTGTGCCTGACAAAGCATTACCAATTCCTGTGGAAACTTCAAAACTTGTCAGTCCTCAGAAGAAAGCAGGATGCTAATTCTACCCTTGATAGACATAAAAATCCTCAGCATATCATACATTTGAGTAGATATTTCTTCTCCCACTCAGACAAACAATTAGAGTTACCTACTTTGGATTTCAGAGACATATCATCACTTCCCTTGGACTAAAATTGAAGAGCAGAAGTACAGACTTCCCTGACATTCAGTAACACAGCCCCTCCATAACCTAGAAATAGAGCTTGTTCTCTGCTGCCTATTGACATGCTGCCTCAGAGACTTTCAGAACCCCAACAGGAAGCCTCACATAGCCCTCAAGAGAACCTTCCAGAATACCTAGTGTTGCTATTAATTTGTATAAGCAACTACCAGCATCACAATATATTATAAAAATGAAGTTCAGAAACTCTTAGAGTTTCTGATATTATTCTGAGGCTACAATATGTATTGTATCACTTCATTTTATTACTTTGAAGAACTTATCAGATGCCTGTACCTGTCATCATCTCAATCTCTCAGGGCACTAAAATGTTCCAAATGAGAAAGGCCATCACTGCATATACTTGATAATAGACGGTTGTTTGATTCTAAGTCTTCTTTCAGTGAGTCGCCTAGAGATTATAACTTCACAGATATTGCCAAACACTTTTTGTGTACATATTTTATATACATAAAACCAAATACTCTCTCTCCAATGACATTTCAAACATGTGTTAAAATTATAGAAGTAATCTTATTTTCCTTCTTTTCCCCACAAAGCTGAATTCAAAAATGAGTTATTTTCAAAAATATAATCTTAAAGTATATTTTAAGACCTGTTTTTGATGTTTTGTTCTGCTGTCAGTGTTCAACATTTCTAGCTACTATACCCTTTCAAAGCACTTCTTTAAGAGTCATAAAAACTTTTAAGCATTCATTAGTATGCACTTGGTTGCTGTTCAGCATGATGCCTTTATTTAATGAACATAAAATAGTTGCAGAGGAATCAGAAAAATAACATATAATAATGTCCCAGAGTATCTTTCAAGCATGTGAGGCACAAAGAAGCTAGCCAAGGTTTGTGTCATAATTCACAAATATTGCTAGTTATAACTCTCCTATAGAAGATGCATATTTTAAAGTAGACAAGTAAAATACTCCCATAAATCCATATTAATTGAGAATATTTTCTCACTTAACAACATGTCTGTAGCAGAATATTTAGTTCTATGAGCTGGTAATGTTTGCTCCTCAGGTGCGGAGTGAAGGAGAAACCCGAGGCATACATCTTCAGAGACACAAGCCCTACCTAAATGAATGCTGCAAATAGGGCTACTAATATGTTTTTGCAACTAATGGTTGGGGGCATACATTTCACTTACAAATTTTTAAGAATGTATTTTCTAAGTGAAGATTGGCCTTACTCTAGCTTTATTATCATAGTTTCGCTTTTGTGCATGTGCACCAAGGACACATGCGAAAAACCCCTAGAAAGAGAAACTGTGTTCACGCATGGTATCTTACCTTGAATTTAATGTCCATACTGCCCATATTAATCAAAAGGACTGATGAGGTTGATAAGAACAAATTCAGCACTTTTGAAAATATTTCAAGATTTTGAAGTGCATCCTAAATGAACAGGATACATGACATATTTTGAATTCACTAGTTTAATTCTCAAAGACTACATGTGGAAAGATTTGAGTTCCATAAATATGGATACACAGAACGACCAGCCCTGTACCATAAAGATAAAAACCACCATTTCAGCATTTAACAAAGTCTCTTATGCTTGTTTGAGAGTGTAATCTTCCCACTCTCGTGATGTTTTCCAGTAAAACCTACATATGAAAAGTGCTTCGTGATGATTAGCCCCTGCTAATCTTCCATGTAGCAGATGAACTGAATTGACAGATCATTTTTTTCCAGCCTCACTAGCTTACAAAAACTCCTCATTCCCTAAAGTCTAAATGATGTAGCATAACATGATCATTGACAATCCAGTGTCAGAAACCTAATTTCTCTGAATTCATTTGCTAGCGTAGAACATTTGTTTTTCAGTAAATGTTTGTTAATACATTTGGGCAGATCCCTCACAAGATCCATGCTGGTGGGGTTCTTCTTAGGATAGAAGAGAATTCCTTGTCTTAACCTTTTTCGTTGGGCACTCATCCTTCTCTCCTAAGAATCTCCCTCACCCAACTATGCATTTCATTCACACATCACATCTCCTGTGTACATGTCTAAGTCACAACCTGTCATGTGTATAATGAAGTGGGCTGATTTTTGCATGTGTACCTTGAAAGCGAATCACTCAGTAAAAAGCTAGCATTTGTGAAATGATTTAATTAAAAGTGAATTATTATCACATTTACTGAGAATTGAGAACCAACATGTTGCTGTGGCCTTAAACACATTTATCAGATTTTAATATAAGTTCCATCATGACCATCCCCTCATGCTATTCATCATCAAGATACTGTCACGTTTTTTGGCACAAATGATTTATGGAGATGAGCATATTACATTTGTTGCAAAGCATATTTATCCTTTATTAAATTTGATTGTGTTATCTGATATAGAGGACTTCTGCATTTTCAAAGCCCATTCCTTATTATAATCAGGAATTAGTATTTCCTAAAATATAAATAATTGAAAATCAGATAAAATTAATAGTGGTCATTAAACTATTGATTTAATATTTATACTTTATATGCAACATTTATGCCAAATGTAGTACTATGCTACATGTACCTTGACATATGGTTATGAGCAAATATTGCATGTTGCATTACATTAAAAAGTTAAGTGTATGTATATATCGGGTATAGGAGAATAAGAAATAACTTGTTTAATTTTTATTTTCAAAAGAGATGAAAAATCCTATATTGCGTCTAAACCTGGTCAGACTTTTATGACTAATCACAGTGCTGCATGCATTGAAAGCCATTTTTTAACTTGTGTTATATTTCATTATTTGCTGTCATTGGTTTTCCACTAGAGTAAGGTAAGTCCTCCTCACTAAATCTGGGGAACTGTTTACTCTTACTTTGATCAATGTTACCAAAGTTAACTGAGAAGTTTTATAGAAGACCTTTGCAACTGAAAATAAAAATCTATGAAAACAGCTATTATAAATGACATTGGGATACAATGGAACATTTGAAACCTGTATCTGTGCAAATTCAAGAGATAGCCAAGTTGAGAGAAGTCTCTAACCTATACAATATGGGTACAACCACGGAGGCCAGAGTGCTCATTAGATCTGTCTTAGTTTCTCCTCTGTGCCTGGCACTGTATGAAGTGTGCTTGAAGCACTCACAGTTTATAAGTTTGTTATGAGGAACATGACAATAAAAGGTGTGTGTAGAAGATCTAGGAGTCCTGATTAAATGTAATGTTTTTCAAAAGACCTATGAGGCTAGAGACACATGAAGGCGGCTTGACTTTACAAGTCTATTCTTTTGTTGTTTTTTTTTTGGTTTGTTTAATTTATTTTTTTTTAATGTGGTGCTGAGGATTGAACCCAGTGCCTTACACATACCAGGCAAGCGCTCTACCACTGAGCTATAGCCCCAGCCCCTTTACAAGTCTATTCTAAGTCAATAAATAAATTAGCAGAGAGGAGTAGATTTATTCATGATACTTTATGAGTTCGAGATCCTGTCCTTAGATAAGACTGGCTACCTTTAATATATACTTATACTTGTCCACTAGTTAAGATACTTTAAAACTTAAGAAAGAAAGTAAAATGGTTATCGTTTCTTGAACATCTTTATATGATATTGCAAATTTTCATTTAATCCTTACAACTCCCAGAGATATGCATTATCAGATATTATTCTCATCTCCATTTAGCTAAGAAGAGAAACAGGAAGTCTTTAGTATGTCTGGGGTATTTGGGCCTATACTAATATGTAGTCTTCCCCAAAATGTGTTTGTCTTGAAATTCAAATGAATTTCCTTTTTGCCAAGGACTATCATGAGTTAGTTTGAATGGCAGCTTCCATCTTACTCTCACCAATTGTTCTCTGAAAGATATGTCTAACAGTCCACTGGATTCTTATTTCTACATTCATCTAAATCATCATTTATTGAGCCAGTTTTTGATGAAAAATGAGTTAATTACAGACCAGTAAAAATGCCTCAATTTCATGTCAAATTCTTCTATTTATCTCCATCTCTCCCATTTCCTTTAGAATCCATTAAAAAATCAATAGAGGGCTGGGAATGTAGCTCAGTGGTAGAGCACTTGCATAATATGCACAAGGCCCAAAACCACACATGCACAAAAAAGAAAAAAAAATCAGTTGAATTGTTTTCATAATAACAAATGAGCTAAGATTGTGGCTCCAGGAGAGTAATGGTTCTAAAGAGAAGAGAGTCACTAGTTCTTCAAAGATCTTGCACCACCCATATTTCCCATGCAGAATCATAATTCCACATACCATCTAAGTCCCTAAACTCCTTCCACAACAATGGAAATCTAAATGGTATTTTCAGGAATCCCTGATGTTTGTTTTCCCTTCTTTTAATGACTTACTCATAGTGGGAGAATTTCAAAATGGTCCTAGTTCTATCCACCACCAAAACAAATTGACATGTCAAGTGACATAGCATGCTTTTGGCATGAGTACTACTGGCTTTCATTGAACTTATGTAAACAGTACTTTCCCCTGTATGCAATAAAGAAAAAATCTTTAAAAATCCATTGTACCTATTATTATTGATGAGGTTATCTATAGCTACACATCTATATGTATCAAAAGTAAAAATAGACTTAGATAAACTTCACACACAAAAAGTTGAGTAAATATCAGATCTTTAAAACTATTAAAAACTTCCCTAATATGCAAGTTAGACATTTTAGAAGACACAATAATGCTTATAACCATACCAGTTTATTAAATGGTCCTACATTTAGACAGCATTTTGCTCTAGCTCCTCATAATGCTTGATTTTAAAAGCCTTATGAAATGGAAAAATCCACCTGACTAGATTCCAACCTAACTGGCTTGAGAGAGATTTATGTCTAACATTACCAAATAACCAGTTAATTTAAAGGATGCTTTAAAAGTCATTTTTTAATATGACCATTTAAACACTAGGCATCTAAAACAAGCACATTATTGAGTGCACTTTAACATTCTCAGGAATCCAAAGATATGGTCCTCATACATAAACTTATCCAAAATTAAAGAGTGTCCAGTGAATCGATGTGCCTCCTGAATTAGCTATAAACTTACACCCTGGGCTAATTTGCAGGGTTTTAAAGATCTGAAATCTGCTAATATTTATCTTCTGACACATAATGATGGAAAATTTAAATCAGCTCTCTAACAAGCCAATAATTACACAGCAAAGTTGCTTTAAAGCCATTAAACATACACCAACTTTTGTTTAAATTAAATGTTCCTTTGTTCCCGTATACTGAGGTAACTTTTCTATCAATAATTAAATATCTTGAGTGTTCTATGTTTGTAGTTTTTAATGTAAAGTATTTTAACTTTTTTTTAGTACTTTATATCTTTAAACGTGTTTTCAACAAAATAATCTCATTGCTTTAACTTTGCAATTATTCCTTATAGTTAAAGAGTAATGATTTACGACAGGAATCCAATCAGTAAGTCACCAAAAGTTCAATAAACACAACTTGACCACCCAAGGGTCAGGCAGGAGGCTCAGTGCTGTGGGATGGGGTGGGGGAATCTGGGGGACAGGCAGAAGTTTAGACATGGGGAGCCAAGATAAAGTAGGAAATGAGCACTATGAGAGTTCAAAGTAGAAAAAAAAAATTACTTCTGGAGGGGAGGGGTAAGCAATATAGAAAATGTGATACTTGAACAAGTAGAAATTGAAGGTATGAGCCTGTAATTCCAGTGGCTTGGGAGACTGAGGCAGGAGGGTTGCAAGTTTAAAGCCAGCCTCAGCAACTTAGCGAGGCCCTGTCTCTAAATAAAAATAAATAAATAAGGATTGGGGATGTGCCTCAGTGTTAGTTAAGCACCTCTGGGTTTAATCCCTGGTACAGGAAGGAAGGAACAAGGACCAAAGGAAGGGAAGGAAGGAATTAAAGATGTGATGTTGGAGGTGGTACCAGGAAGGAAGGAAGGAACAAAGGGAGGAATGAAGCAATTCATTGAAGATATGATGCTGGAGGTTGACTAGTGACTCAGGTAGAAAAGACTTCTGACAAGTCTACGTAGGAAGCAAAGGGGAGAGAAAGCCTGAAAACATCCAGAGAACATGAGATATCTGGTTAAAGTAGCTTTTCTATCACTCCATCCACAAGAGAATTTGGAATGGTTTTTGAGCAAGGTGAAGCCATCATTCAGGGGAAAGTTTACTGAAATGGGTGTGTCAAATCAATTGTATGTCTGTATAGGAGAACAGACACACAATTGTGTTATTAAATTGTTCTTTCCTTAGCACTTCATGGTTTCTCTGTCAATGGAGTTTCGTTCATACGGGGAGAGAACCGAGATAAGGAGACTAGTTTAGGGGACCACTATAATAGCTTGGGGAAAGGCTATAAGGTGACCTAGGGTGCTGGCAGGAATAGATCAAAAACCAGTCCCAAGATTTTGTGAATAAAGAAGTAACCAGATAATTTCTCCTGATGTGGATGAGTTCAGTGCATCAGCTCCTTGTCCTTTTTTTGTAACTCAGTTTTACAGAGGCAGCAGTTAATACTTATAGCTGCTGATGAATAATGGACACATTTGTTGCGTCTTCCAACGTGACATTGAAACTGATCAACTTAGGTGATGTATGGAATATCATGAGTAGTTAGGCCACCTGAAGACAAAACCTGAGGGGTTTTTATGTTTCTTTAAAATGCCTGCAGAGCATATTCTTTATTTCCATTTTATAGTATTTTTATAATAAATCCAGGGTGGAAAGTGATTAGCACTTTATGTTATAAAATACACATATCAATTTCATGTCTATCTTTTAATCAGGTTTTTAACACAGATGTTATTGCTTCTTAATTATACATGAAATTGAATTTATGTATTTTGCCTTGAGACAGTTTATTATAAATTTTCAAATGATCAAATTTAACTATAAAATTATCTTACTTTAAATTTTTCTATATTTTACAAGTGCTAGTACAATATCCCTAAGTATAATGCTGAGTAAAATAGACTAGATAAAACAGCATCATTTTACACCACACTAGTATATTATTAATGATTGACATTCCAGAAGATTACACTTCTCAGTGAAAAATTATCCTTTTCCTTTGCTTTTCCCTTACTCAAATTCATGTCATGTCGATCTTTATGGTGAGATCGCCTCATATGACATTATCCCACTCTGCATGTGTTTTAAGTTTCCTTGTATTAAGGATGAAAGGCTTTGGGACCATGTAGTCAAGAGACTCAGTGAATATGGAAAATATTGATAGGCTCACACTCATAAACCACATATTGATGCGACATATAAATATGTTGTCATTCAGATCAGTGTGCGAGTATGATTCTTTTCAGTGATGTTATAGATTATGATCCTTTTAAAAATGTATTTTCCATGCCAAAACCCTAGCAGCATCACTCCCAGTACCATGCAGTTTCCTGCAGGCTTCTGATATTCATTTTGAGTATTTTTACCAGCCTCACACATAGTATGTATGTAGGGAGAATACAATGTGTGTATGTAGGGAGAATACGTAAACATGTTTACAATTAGTTATACATTCAATTTCATCTCCTTTGTATTTTATAACCTCTTTTTAGCATAGTATCCATTTCATAAATCCCTGTGTATAGAATACCACCACCATTGCTTACTGTTTGAGAAAGACAATGGAATCCAACATTCTAAGAGAAATGCACTTCCTCATTTTGCATCCAGGGACTGCATAAATTAGGAAGGTTCAGCTGATTCATCCAACAAGTTTGCTTTTCTTTGTTTTGCTCTTTAAGCTTTAAGTGAAAATCTTTACTGGAGTGATCAAACTATTTTTCCTACTTGTTAAAGATATATGTAAATAAGATCATGGGCCCAGCATGTACTTCCTCTAAAGTTCGTCAAATAGATGTTTTCAGGAAGGGCTCAAGAATAAAATTAAAATCTGAAAGTATATGTCTGCTTTAACTATAAATCAAGAAAAAAAAAGACTTTTTTTCTGATTCTTTTCTGGTTCTGAAAAGAAAGGGGTTTCTTTAGGGCCAAGGGCAGTGGCTGTGGGTATCAGTCTTTAGTTCCTGTGTCCCTGGGTGGTAATGTCAGCATGACCTATGAATCCTGAAAGCTTTCAAATAGCAGGTAACTTAGGATCTAGAATAGATTGACATTCAATGATGGGACTTACATGCTCTTTCTCCTTTCCCTCCCTGCCTGTATCCATTCTCATTTCAACAGCACTCGCAAACAAAATTACATGATGAATTTTTCACGGCAACATGGGCTCAGGCACTTCTACAACAGAAGACGAAGGTCACTTAGGCGACACCCATGAAGAATCAAAAAGATTATTTTTCCTTCCAACATGTGACGTGTTGCTTTCCATTCCTTTAAACCTCTCACCACATCTGATATCAGGAAATATCTGTGAAGGACTTGGTGGTTAACAGAAAGCCCTTCTCCAGACCGAGTGTATACCACTTTCCCACACTGTGAACTAATGACAAGTGACTTATTTGCTCATAAGTAAATGTCTCCATGTTGATGTGTCCGTGAAAATTGTGATCTGTTGTAATATCAGTTACAGTGGCAGTATTGAAAATAAGAAATAGTTTAACTGAAAAAAAAAGTTTAAGCACAAAAATTTAAGAGATTTTATGTTTAAAATGGCATTTAGCACAGTATTTAACATTCTTGGTCACAAAGCTATTTAAGTGGACTGTATTTCAGCTTTGTATCATGTTTTATATGATTAAATTATCATCGTTTGTCCTTTATGTATTCTCTTCTACAGTATAACACATTGAAACTGTATTTACGTGTTATGTTGCAATATTTTGCTGCTGAATTTTGATCTACTTATATTCTGCAGAAAGTTAATTGAAATACCTATTCAAGATAATAGTTGTAAAGATATTGTATCTCCTTTAATATACTCCTTAAAATGTACGTTGATCTAGCATTGTTTTGTGGATGAGAAAAATGCTTGACCTTGAAATATTTTCTACTTAAAAATTGTGTATGAAGACCCTGTCTCCCACAAAGGAATTCCCATTTCCTTGTCTACAGATTTCTTTTTTAAAAAGTGTTCTGTGCCTGATTTACTAACAGTAACTGCCATTTTGTGTCTGTAGTAACAAAGTGATTTGTAAAACAGTGGATGTTTTTTCATTGTGTTCTCTTCGTGGGTTGTTTTTCCTGCGGGTCATATTCACATCTTCTTTGGATGAAGTGCAACCAACACCAGCAAGATTATAATGGCCCCTGTATCCCTGACCTCTCTATTAGAATAACTGAAGGCTGCACTCCAGGGTGAGCCGTGCTAAAAGCCCATGCTTAAATAAAAATTATGTCCAAAAGCCATTTGAAGTTCATTTGTCTTAATTTATTTTTCATTAAATTTCATGGAGGATTTGTTAGCCTGGTCAGGTTGGTGCTGAAGTCAAGTATACATATGATGTTTTGTTTCATCATTGGTCATAGCAATTACGCTTTTATTTTAGGCGTTTTTTTGTCTTATTCAGCTTTTTCTACTAACCACTCTGTAGCCACACTAAGAAAAGCCAATAAAGAATTCTGAAAATGACTTATCTCCCAAGAATTTTCCTAGTGGTTAACACAATGCCTGTCTTACAAGAAGCACTCTCATACATTCATTCAACAAATATTTATTGAGTGCTTGTGAAGTGCAGGTTCTAGCTAAATGTCAAGGATAAAAATGGTGATTTAGACATTTTCCTCCTTGCTTTTGACATCTGAAAAAAATAAAAAGTATGTTAATGCTTTATTGATTTTCAAGAGGATTTTTTTAAATCGAGAAAAAATTTTAAGACATGGGTTCAGCCATGGTAAACTTTCTTTCTTTTGACATCAACAATATTGGACCTAAATATACCTCCAATTAATGAATTAGCCATCCTTTGAAGGTAGACTGCACCCCTGGGGTAACAGTATCTTTTGAAACATTTAAATGTGAGAGATGAAACTATGATTTCAGAGGATTTTTCCTACATGGCCCACTTCAGTCATTTTATTTATGTGTTCATTCTTCACATACCTATTATACATAGTCCTTTGGGGGGATGAGAACACTTAAGATCTCTTAAGCAAATTTCAAACTTACAACCTTATTGCTAACTGCAGTCACGTGGCTTTACCTCAGCTCTCCAGAAAGTACTCATCTTGCATAGGAGGAACTTGATTCTCTTGGAGTAACTAATCTCCCTATTTCACTTTGCTCCCATCCCTGGAAACCACCACTGTATTTTCTTCTGTGAGTTTGATTATTTTAGATTCCACATTGAAGTGAGATAGCATTTTTGTAAGTCAGTTCATAATAGCATCACAAATATGAAATAGGAATAAATCCAGCTGGGTGCCATGGCACTCACCTGTAATCCCAGTGGCTCGGAGGATGAGGCAGGAGGATCAAGAGTTCAAAGCCAGCCTCAGCAAAAGCAAGGCATTAAGCAACTCAGTGGGACCCTATTTCTAAATAAAATACAAAATAGGGCTGGGGATGTGGCTCAGTGGTAGAGTACCCCTGAGTTCAATCCCTGGTAACCAAAAAAAAAAAAAAAAAAAGAAGAAGAAGAAGAAGAAAAGAAAAAAGAAATAGGGATAAATCTGAGAAATTATGTGTAAGACCTATACACTGAAAACTTCAAAGTATGGCTAAGAGAAATGAAAGAGCTAACTAAATGGAGAGATGTATTGTGATTACAAATTGGCGCTCTTGATACTGTTAACTTGTCAGCTCTCTCCAGATTGACGTAAACATCCATGCATTTCCAGTCAAAATCCCACAGGCATTTCTATAGAACTTGACAAACTGATCCTGAGACATAGGGAATTGCAAAGGACCAAGAATAGCCAAAGCAACTTTGAAAGAGAAGAATATTGGAGAACTACTTTCTTTCAAGATTTATTATAAAACAGGTAATCAAGACAATATGGTACAGCTTCTTTCATAAACTTTCTTTCATCAAGACAGACAAATAGAGCAATAAAACAGGTGGAGAGTCCAGGAAGACAGGCAAATATATGTGAGCAACTTGCTTTTCTTGATTTTTGTCAAAAGTACAAAGGTAATCCAATGGAGAAAGGATAGTCTTTGTTGTTGTTGTTTTTGGAGGGGAATATCAGGGATTTGAACTCAGGGCACTTAACCACTCAGCCACATCCCCAGCCCTTTTATTATATTTTCTTTTGATACAGGGTCTTGCTAAGTTGCTTTGAGGAAACTCTTTTAAACAAATGGAGTTGGAATTGGATACACAAATGCAAAAGAACAAAATTCTATCTATATCTTAACATCATATACAAAAATTAACTCCAAATGGATCACAGACCAAAATTTAAAACCTAAAAATGTGAAATTTCTAGGAGAAAAAACATAGGAGAATATTAAGTTGGTTGGCAATATCTTACCTATGCTACCAAAAATGCATAAACTTTCCTTCATAAAACAGCAAATTAGCGGCTGTGGTTTTAGCTTATGGTAGGGTGTTTGTTTCGCATGTGTGAAGCACCAGGTTTGATTCTCAGCACCGCATATAAATTAAAATAAAATAAAGGCCCATTGACAACTAAAAAATATTTTTTAAAAAATACAGCTAATTAAAATGTTATCAAAAAACTTTTGGGGGGCTGGGGTTGTGGCTTAGTGGTAGAGCACTCGCCTAGCATGTGCAAGGCACTGGGTTCAATCCTCAGCACATAAAAATAAATAAAATAAAGGTATTGTGTCCAACCAAAACATATATATATATATACATATATATATATATATATATATATATATRTATATATATACACACACACACACACACATACACACACACTCACACACACTAACACCAAAAATAATTAAGACCAGGGAAAATACTTGCAAAATAATATCTGATCAAGGACTAAGGACTTGTATCCAGAATGCATGAGGAACTCTCAAAACTCAAAAATAATGAAACAAATAAACCAGTAAACCAAAAATAGGCAAAGATTTGAACAGACACTTCACTAAAATAGATATAAGGAGGGAAAATAAGCACATGAAATTATGCTCAACATGGTTAATCATGAGGGAAATACAAATTAAAACCACATTGGGATATCACTGCAAACCTGCTAGTATTGATAAGAGACTAACAATATCAAGTACTGACAAGGGCTAGAACTCTCCTATACTGTTGACAAGACTGTAAAACCATACAGATCATTTTGGAAAACAGTTTGGCAGTGTCTTAAAGAGCTAAGCATATGCCTACTATATGATTTAACTAGTCCATTCATAAATATTTACTCAAGAAATGAAAGCATGTAGTCATAGCAGTTTTATTTTTAATGAGTAAAGAAAGGATTATACTAAAGCAATTCATTATTCAAATTAAGAAAATAAGACCAAATCCCTGAAAGCAGTATGGAGATTCCTCAGAAAACTTGGTATGGAACCACCATTTGATCCAGTTATCCCACTCCTCTGTACAAATCCAAAGGACTTAAAATCAGAGTACTACAGTGATGAAGCCATATAGATGTTTATAGCAGCTCAATTTACTATAGCTAAGTTATGGAACCAACATTGGTGCCCTTCAACAGATGAAAGGATAAAGAAAATGTGGGGCTGGGGATGTGGCTCAAGAGGTAGCGCGCTCACCTGGCATGCACAGGCTCTGGGTTCGATCCTCAGCACCACATAAAAATAAAAAGATGTTGTGTCCACCAAAAACTAAAAAATAAATATAAAAAAAGAAAATAGACATAGGCCTAAAGTGTCTATGTTTAAAAAGAAAAAAAGAAAGAAAGAAAATGTGGTATATATACACAATGGAACATTACTCAGCCATAAAAAAGAATGACTTTATGACTTTTGCCAGCAAATGAATAGATTTGGAGACTATCATGCTACGTGAAATAAGTCAATCCCAAAAAATCAAAGGCCAAATGTCCTGATAGGTAGCTGCTAAAACACAATAATGGGAGAGGGAAAAATATAAGTTCATTAGATTAGACAAAGAGAAATGAAGAGAAGGGAGTGGGGATGGGAATAGAAAAGATAGTAGAAAATGAATCAGACATAACTTTCCAATGTCCATATATGAATACCCCACCACTGAAACTTCACATCATGTGCAACCACAAGAATGAGCTCCTGATTAGAATCAGTTATATCCCATGTATGTATAATATGTCAAAATACCATCAACTGGGGCTGGGGTTGTGGATCAGTGGTAGAAGACCTACTGTGTGAGGCACTGGATTCGATCCTTAGCACCACATAAAAATAAATAAAGGCATTGTGTCAATGTACAATGAAGAATATTTTTAAAAATACCATCTGCTATCATGTATATCTAAAAAGAAAAAATTTTTAAAAAACTGGGGTAATAGAAAATATTTTTTAAAACACAGAGATCCCTGGATATGCCATTACACAAAAATTAACTTCCAGATGGATTAAAAACAAAAATGAAAGAAGGAATGTTTTACAACTCTTAGAAGAACATAATGTGGTCCTGGGGAAAGAAGAATTACTTTAACATGATATAAAATACACACATCATAAGGGAAAAAATGAGGGCAAATTGACCTGAATTTTTAATGGATTAATTTGTAAAACTTCTTTGTAACTGAAGAGACCATAAAACTTAAAAAAAAAAAAAGACTACAGACTGGGAGAAAAAAAATGTATAAAGGATGTATAAAGGACTAGGCTCTAGAAAAAAAAAATATATATATATAAAGATACAATTGGATAAAAGAAGGAAGTTATGGTTTAGACATGCGGTGTCCCCCAAAAGCTCATGTGTGAGACAATGCAAGAAAGTTCAGAGGTAAAATGATTGGTTTATGAGACCCTTAACCTAATCCATGCATTAAACCACTGATAGGGATTAACTGTGTGATAATCATAGGTGGGGGGGTTGCTCATGCAGTGTTCTTGAGGTTTATGTTTTTTCTGTAATGAAGGGAGCTCTCTCTCTCTCTCTTTGTGGGTGTGTAGACGTGTGTGTGTGTGTGTGTGTGTGTGTGTGTGTGTCTGCTTCCTGGTGGCTATGTCTCGAGCTGCTTTCCTCCACTACTCTCTTCCCCCATGTCCTCTGAAACCACGAGCCACGTTTACAGTCTCCCTGTCTAGTTGTTCCTGTCAGGTCTTTTGGTCACAGCAGCGAAACAGCTGGCTAAAACAAAGACAACGTTTGTCAATGGGCAAAAAATAAAAATAGAAATTCATAGAAGAAAAAACTGGAATGATGAAAAATGGAAAGGTTTTCAGCCTCATTGACAATCAGGCAAATATCATTTAAAACAACAAATAATTTCATACCTAATCAGAGTGGCCAAAATCAGAATCTAATCATGTTGG